AGTTAACCAGGCCACACCTACTAAAGTCTTTGAGACACAGGTGATTCTAATGTACCCTGGCCATTGGTTGAGCTCAGCCAAACCCTTTATTTTCTTTAAAATGATTTCAAAATTATGTAGTGTCTAGTACATAAGAGACACCAAAAATACAGCAGTGAACATACATACACCACTGTACAGCTTAAGATAATCCCTCAATTTATTCAAGCTGTATAGAGTAGCTATACATACGTGTGTAAAATGTTTGGTTTTGTCTTTTTAAAACGTAAAAGAAAAAAATCCCCAAAAGGTATCCCTATGTGATTCTATGCCCTGTTGTTTTCACTCAAGAATAGGTTTTGAGCCTTTTCCCATCTCATAACGTATAGATCTGCCTGATTTTAAACTGCCGTATGGTATTTCATGTGGTGGAGTCCCATGGCTGTGCAGCCACCCCCTTACTGTGAACAGGAGGTCATTTCCAGTTTTCCACTGTTATGACCTGTTTAACAGGCACCTCTCTGGCACAGGGTGCGTATTCCTCTAGGGCAGGCAGCGCTTTATAGGTGAAAGGGGACAAGCACTCTGTATTGCACTCTGAAGAGGTTTCACAAGTTCACATTCTATTTACATTTATAGTTTATATTCCACTCATTTACATTACACTGCATTTACAGTGAGGAGTATCTGAGAGGACTCTTTTCTTTCCTACAACCTGGTTAACACTTGGTATTATTGTTAAAAGTCTTCTAATCTGATTGATAAATGAGAGTCTGTTATTTTAATAGTCATTTTCTTGACTCTGAATACTTTTTTAAATGTCTACTGCCCATTTTTTTAGTCATTCTTGTGAATTGCCTATTTATAGCCTTCCCAGGGGACTAAAACTTTGACTACATTAAAATCTGAAACTTCTGTGCCTCAAGAGGATACCATGATCAGAGTTAAAAAGACAAGTTACTACCTAGAAGAAGATGGTTGCAACATATCTTATAGACCCAAGATTATTAACTACAATATGTAAAGAGCACCTGCAAATTAGCAAGAATGAGGCAAACCAATAGAAAATGGGTAAAGGGTATGAACCCTTTCGAATTATATACGGAGCCAGAGAAGGCAAGAGTCTTATTGCCTAAGGTCTTAGGCACAGGAAATTATGAGTAAAGCTGGATCTTGGACCCAGCCTTCTCTACTAATCTCAGGCTTTTTCCATCACCTCATTCTCACTTGGACGGTAAAGAGGCAGGTGACATACTGGGCTATTCACTCAGCTGATGCCTATTAAGTGCTTGCATATTTGTAGCTCAGGCATTAGGGCTGGTGAACCACAGGTAGGGCACAGATGAGGGCAGGGGAGCAGTGGACGGAGGTGGGGGTGGGACAGGATGCGAGGGCAGCTGATGGCTCTGGGTACCTAGGCTGTCCTCTCCCTCCCGGTCAGCTTGGGTCTGTCTCTTGCAGAGTCAGGGCTGGAATACTACCCCCCTTCTCAGTACCTGCTGCCAGTCCTGGAGCAAGAAGGAGCCGAGAACTCCCGGGACAGCCCCGACGGGCCCTCGGACAGATTCTCCAGGGAGGAGGTGGCGTGGCAGGTAAAGCACATGTGCCCGCTGGCCTGAGGAGCAGAGGGCTGCATGGGGCCCTGGGCAGTGCAGGGATGCTCAGAGCTGCAGCCCTGGATTCCTCTGCCAAACTGGAATCTGCCTCCATTTGGGTCCATGTGCTTAGGTGTTTTCACCAGGGCTCCTCCAGCACCTCATGGCAGCAGCCCCCCGAGTGTCAGCTGCATCCCGCTCCTCTCTGTTACCCCAACCCACTGGGACCTTTGTTTTTTGTGTGTGTGTTTTTGTCTTTATTTTTTTAAATTAAAAACAGTTGATGTACAGTATATTGGCTTCAGGTATACACCATCAACAATTATAAACATGGAATGCTCACCAGTTAAGTGTAGTTACCACCTGTCAACATACGAAGTTATTACAGTTTTATTGACTGTTGCCTAAGCTGTATTTTTATCCTGGTGACTAACTTATAATTGGACGTCTGTACCTCTCTATTCCCTCACTCATTTCACCCATTCCCTCCACCCGCTTCCCGTATGGTAACCACCAGTCTATTCTCTGTGTTTCTGAGACAGTTTTGTTTTTTAGATTACACATATAAGCAAGATCATGGTATTTGTCTGGCTTATTTCACCTAACACCTCGGTCCATGTTGCAAATGGCAGCATTTCATTCTATTTTATGTTTGAGTAATATTCTGCATACATGTACCATATCTTATCCATTCATCTAGTGATGGACACTTAGACAACAAGATAGGTTGCTTCCCTATCTTGCTACTGTGAACAACACTGCAGTGGACATAGGGGTGAAATATACATTATTGAATTAGTGATTTTTTTCTTCTGTTATTCCCTGAAGTGGAATTGCTGGGTCATATGGTATTTCTATTTGTAATTTTTTGAGAAACCTCCACACGGCTCTCCGTAGTGGCTGCACAAGTTTACATTCCTCCCAACAGTGCAGGAGGGTTCCCTTCCTTCCACATTCTCGCCAACACTTACTTCTTGTCAGTAGTAGCCTAGGGCCCTGTCTTGCCAATAGGTTTCAGCCCCGGGCAAGTTCACTATGGATTCAATGTGACCAAAGAAATGACAGTAGAACGTTCTTGGGGTGAAAGGGTTTATACCCAACCTTACTTCCACGGTGGCAGGTCAATCACTAAAATCCTGTTCACTCAGTCTGCATGCAGCAAGCCGGTCTCTGCCTCTGGGCCTCTCTGCCCGCACAGCCATCCTCTGGGCCTCTGCTCTGCTCTCCTTCAACCTTGCAGCCATGCCACCATGTCACCCAGAGCACTGGGCGGAGCTCTTTATATAGAATCAATAGCAACATATTGCCCACACGTGTGTAGTGAGCAAGCCAACTTTTCATTTTATCCACAGGCCCTTTGAACATGCAGCTTCCCTGTGCCTGGAACTCTCCCAGCTCATTTCTCTCACTGTCTCATCCTTCAGTTCTCAGCTTAAACATCACATCCTCTGGGAAGCCTTCCCAGACGCACAGCCAGGCCCGGTCTCCTGTTACATATTCTCAGAGCACCTTGTTTCCCTGGAGGCACTTTGCATGGCTCTGGGCTAAATGAAAAATTCCATGGAAGGCAGCTTGCTTAATATCTTTCTCCCCTGATGGCTGGAGCTATGTGAGAGTGGGGATCATGCCTGCATTGTTCATTGTTGTCTTTCAAAAAGTACTCCTTGCTTCAGTGCCACTCGCTGTATAGGATGCCTGTCATGCTCTCAGGCTAGCAAAGAAGTCATGTCAGCACCAGTAGCAGGCTGGCCCTCCGAGGTCCCTGGGGGTGATCTAGCTCAGGACAAACACGGAGGAGAAAGCTTGGAAGGGTTTGCCGCACTAGCCAGGGTGTGCCTGGTATTGGAGCCGGACAGAAACTTTCTCCAGCCCCCGCCCCCTGCTCCCATAAGCTGAGGCCCTGATGGCTCTGAGGGGGCCCCAGCTGCTGTGGATTTGGCTTCCTATCTTCCAGTGATTTTTTTATTTTTTATTTTTTATTAATCTTTGGTTCTCTGATGCCACCCTTCCCTGTTTTCCAGGGCTGCTGTGCATGCTGTTATCATTTTATATTTATTCTGATAGCTCAATGAAAATTAGGGAGGAGACTATCCAGGAAAATTGTGTTAATTTATAATCTTAGAAGGTATTTGCAGTATACATTTCTGATGAAGGATTAACAGACAATATATAAAGAACTCTTTCAAATCAATTTGAAGCAGAAAACTATCCCAGTAGAAAAACAGATCAAAGATATATCAGTGGGTACTTTACAGAATAAAACAGTGCACATGGCTGATACACGGAAAAGATGCCCAACTTCCCTAGTAACTAGGCAAATTAAAACAATGTAATACCTTTCCCCCCCTCAGACAGGCAGATTTCACTCTGATCACTTCTGTTGACCGGAGTGTGGGAAATCAGTGGCCTCAAAAATTGCTCTTGGGAATGGAAGTTAGTATTACCACTGTGGGAGATAACTTGACAATATATGCCAAAAATGTAAATGCGTATTGCCCGTGAGCCAGAAGTTCCGCTTCTCAGCGTATACCCCAGAGAAACGCTTTTGTGAAGAGACATTTACAAGAATGTTCATTCCGGCCTTACTTGTAGTAATGAAATATTGGAAGCCCCCTGATGTCTATCAGAGGGAAAAGGCTGGACAAATGTGTTACATCCATGCCAGGAGACAGATCTCTCTAGACTTGGGTCATAGGACGTACAGGTAAGTGAACAAGACAAGTTGCAGAACACAGTGGTGCGGTATAGTTCCATTTTTAAGTTTAAAAAGATTCAAAATACTCAGGCAAACAGATCGGTAATTGACAGTGAGTGGGGGTGGGAAGAAAGTTTGATGATAAAGGGGCACAAGGGAATTTTGGGGGTAATAGGATTGTTCTATATCTTGATTGTGGTGGTTACGTGACTGCATTTGTCAAAACTCATAGATAGTACACTAAAAAGGATGAGTTTTACAATATGTAAATTATACCTTCATTAAACAACACATTTACGTGTATGCACACACATACAAATACGTATTTTTTTCCAAAGGTACAAATTATATGTAAGTAGATGCATGGACTTAGGTTTGGAAATGATAATTACATGGGGGATTGAAGGCACGGAGGGAACCAGGATTAGTCCTGGGAGTGGTCAATGGGAATGTTTTGTATGTTGTTTTAATTTTCTACAAGGAGAATGCATTCAGATACTACCTGTAAAAGATTAATTTTTTAAAATGTTACTCCTACCGTCAACATAGCAAAAGTCTGATTTCCTTATAGAATCCTGCTTTTACAGTTCAGACCGAGACTAATTCTGGTCTTAGAGCTGGATAACTAATTAAAAGGGCCACTGTAAGTGTGTGTGCGTATGTGTTGGTGTTTAACTACAAAAGTAATTCATGCTCCTTGTTATAAATTTTAACAATAAGGAAAATATAAAGTAAGTGAAGTTACCCATCCCCTGCACCCCCCGGCAGATAATCATCACGAACTGATTAATGAATCTCCTTCCTGAACTTGTCTCAAGAAGTACAAAACTCAGAGTTGAGTTTTGCTGATGTCTTCACAAGGGCGCTCTCGTGCTGCACAGAGCAATAGATGGCAGGCATCTTCCCCTTAAGTGACACCCACATTTGCCCCATTATTTGGCAGTTGAGTAATAATCCATTGCATGGATGCCCCATGATGGTTGAAGTAACCACCTGTTGCTGGGCATTTGCGTTATTGCCAGTGTTTTCACTCTAGAGCAGTTCTGCAGGAATTGCATGCACTCCTGTGCGTGTGGTTCGGTGGCCAGAGCGGGGCACTGCAGGCATGTGGTGCAGACATGCAGGGAAATCCAATATCCTGATTCCTGGTCTCTTTTTCAGAGTGCCAAACTTCCTCAGTGCAGTAGAACCCCAGACCTGCCTTAAAGACCTTCCTAGGGTGTGCCGAGCCCATGTCCCTCACCCCTGGGGTCCACTAGAACCATCTGGGACCCTTTATCAGACTGCCCCCCACCCCGAATTCTGCCACAGTGCTCTGGAGGGGCCTGGGAGTCTGGGTGGTGTCAGGCTGCCTCGGTGACTCTGGCCCAGAGGGCTGCTGCTTCCCATCTCTTGACCACTATCTTTTCTCCCCCCCAGAATAGGTTCTCAGACTATGAGAAGAGGAAGGTAAGAAAATGCTTTTTCTGCTATTTTTCTTCCCATTAAAGATCTCAACTATTATAAAAGATTTGAAGAAACAAATTCTTCCTGTCTCTAAATTAGAGGATAAAGTAATTCTCTTCTCTTACAATCATTTCCTCACCACGGCCTCAAACTGCTTGGCGGGTGGTGGAGTATCTCACCTGATAGATGAGGAGACAGGCTCAGAGGGAGCGCAACCCCAGGCCTGAAACCACTAGCCTCTGCCAGTGAACAGCCCATCTTAGTACAGTTGGGCCCTGAGGGTTGCTCAGCCTGAAGACCTGCAGCCCGCACTGTTACCAGCTGGGGGTTGGTTCACTCTGCTCCCGTGTCCTAATGCCCACAGGATCTACCTTCTTGCAGGAACAGAAGATGCTGGAGAAACTCGAGTTTGAACGGCGCCTGGAACTCGGGCACCGAGAGCACGCCCAGCTCCTCCAGCAGAGCAGCTATCAGAAGGAGGAGATCCTTCAGACGGTCAAGGAGGTTTGTGAGCGGCCACGTGGGATCCCGCCTGTCTGCGCACTCCCTGCCTCCCACCTCGGGTCCCTGTGATGTGGAAGGCGGTGGGAGTGCATGCTCTCGCTTCCATCCCCCAGGACCTGGGACCCCTTACAGGTCACCTAGTCCAGTCCCCTTGGGTACAGTGGACACCCTGAGGCCTAGCAAGGGGAGGACCTGGCCCACGGTCACGCAGGAGGAGCCTGGAGGATGGGGACAGGAAAGCCAGTGTCCTGACCCCAGTCCAGGGCCCCTCACTGCCCCGTGGTGTCCGAGGGCATCACAGCTGGCTCAGGACCTCCCCCCATCCTGCTGCAGGAGCAGTCCCGGCTGGAGCAGGGCCTGAGCGAGCACCAGCGCTCCCTGGATGCCGAGCGCCAGCAGCTGCAGAAGCAGCTCAAGCAGACAGAGCAGAACATCTCCAACCGCATCCAGAAACTCCTGCAGGAGAATCAGAGGTTGGGCTCCTGGCCCCCAGGCCCAAAGCCTCCCCCAGCACTCTCCCCTTTGAGGAGCCCAGATGGGGGTCTATCTCTCCTCATGGTCTCTATTCCTGTGCAAAGTCTCTGTTGTTAGGATCCAAGCTCGATGCTGCAGCTTGTACCAACTTAGGGAAAAGAGTCTACTCCAGGCATGGCCGGGTCTGTTTCTTGTCCAGGGGCTGCTACTGGTTGGACTATGCCTCCCAGGCTCCCCACGGGGGTTTGACAAGACAGTTGAGGTCACATCCTGCCCCAGTATTTTGTGTTCCAAGCAACCTGTGGTGCTGAGGTCAGCCATTCACCCTGTAGTGGGATTTGCCTTATCAGTCTTGATGGGACGGCAGAGAAGCGGGCCAGGTAGAGAAATCTGAGGAAGTTTGGTTGGGGTCCCTTGTGGACCGATTCAGAGGCAGGCTTTTGTCCTGTCCCCTGTGGCCTCCCGGCTTCCTTTGCTTTTTGCCTGCTCCCCCATCAAGCAGCTACGGGTGCCCGAGTGGGCTGACAGCCTGCTGTGGGCAGCTCTGCATGCACACACCCCAGGGCACCCAGGAAAGCTACAGCTTGTCGGGTGCATCTTACTGTGCCCAGCACTTGATACCTGTTTTCTCATTCATGCTTTACAAGTACTCCGTGACAGTTTTTTATTATCCCCATTTTGTAGATGAAGAGCAAGGGTTTGGAGTGGTTGAGTGTCTGGCCTGAGGGCACAGAGCTCTCAGGTGCTGGGGTGAGGTGCCCCCAGCTCAGCTACTCAGCCCTCCGCACAGCCAGGGCACTTAGCAGAGATCAGATCAGTTGGAAACAGGCCTGCTCGTGACAACTGCAGGGACCTTTTATGGTTTTCTCCACAGGCAAAAGAAAAGTTCTGAGATTTTGAAGTCGCTGGAAAATGAAAGGCAAGTGCTCTGCTCTGACACTTTCTCCACATCGCCTGCCTTCGTGGGGCGTCTTGGGGAGAGAAGATGTGTGACTCTCAAGGATTATGCCAGAAGGTTTTCCCAAGCTTTAAGGAGATTCACCTCTTCAAGGAATATTGGGTTAAAAAGAATCACTGCCTGCAAGTTTGTTAAAACACAAGTACATTCCCAAGAAAAACTCAGATGAGATAATATATGTATAATATCCAACTATATTCCTTCTATAAAAAAATTAAGGGAAAAAACACATTTCTGGGGAAACAATTTGGTTACATGAATTATATACAAAGTAATAATCTATAGCCATTCAATGTCTTGTAAATTAATATTCCCAATTACGAGAAAGACTATATTGCTAAATGAAAAAGTGGTGAGCACACTGACAACAGAACAGTGTATCATTTCTTACCACTCTGCGTGTGTCTGTGCACAGACAGCAAGAGGTCCCACCCACAGTGGCTTACAGTGAACAGTGCTGAGAGGCAGGAGTTGGTGGTGGTGGCCTGGGTTTCTTTTCCTTTGTGTTCTCTGTATTTTCCAAGTGTACTGCTTTGAGTCACACCACTTTAGTCATTAGAAAAGATGACAGTGTTAATGGAAGTCCCTCCTGGGATCCCACATGGGCAGCATGCAGTTTCCTGCTGTCCTTGTGCCCAGCTTTCTAGGCCCCTGGCTGCTTGGGAGGGCCCCTGCAGGGCACTCCCGTGGGATTGCGGGGCAGCCCCATCACCCACCCACTTCGGCTGTGGTGCTGCAGGAGCCAGGGGCAGGCAAGGCCCAGCTGAGTTGTGGCCAGTGACATCATTTACTCAGCACACACTGAACAAGCCACTCTGTATCGGGCCTGGACTGGGCCTGGGGGCAGCAGTGCACCAGATACATACAGCCTCCCCTTGAGCGGAAGGCAGAGGTGCTCAGATGATACATACTTCTGGTGAAGTCAGCCCCTGCAAAAACATTAAAGGACGTTCTTCCCTCCAAGCTACCCAGTTTGGGGGCAGGGGGTGGGAGGGGAGATAAATGCACGCACATGCAGTGTGCACATCTATACAGGCAATTACCTTTTTTATTTTCATTATATCAGGATACATTTCTATGCTCAAAACCTTGTTTTTGTAATAGCTGTAGTGTATTCCACTATATGATTATATCATAACTTCTTAAATTAGCCCTCTGTTCATGGACATTAAGCTTCCAGTTTTTCATAATTACAAATACTATTATAGTGAGTATCTTCTAAATATAGCCAGTTGCATTTATGCAAATATTTCTGAAAGAAATATTCAAAGGACATTTTGACAGTTATTGACAAATTGCCTTGTAAAAAACATTTTGCCTATTTATACTGCTCAGAAGCATGTGGAACTTCCCATTTGCTGTCCTCATTGCCACTACCAATGGCTCTCAGTTTTCTAAACCTTAATCAAACAGGTGGAAAGAAGGTTTTATTTTCTTTCGTCATCAGTAATGTCAAGCGTCTTGCCATATGTTTTTTGATTGCTTGTATTTAAGCATCAGTGAAATGGCTGTTTGTGTCCTTTGCCCATTTTTCTAAGAGTTCATCTTTTTATGCAAGAAACTCTAACTCTAAGGCTGAAGGTAAACGGGGCCCCGGTGGAGGTACGTGATGCAGCCAGAGCATATCTAGGCACATCAAGGAAGACTTCTGAACGAGGCAGTGTCCATCTGATGGAATTCCCTGTTGGAATATTATGCTTGCTGAATAAATGCATGGACTTTTTTTTTTCTAGAATAAGAATGGAGCAGTTGATGTCCATAACCCAGGAGGAGACAGAGAACCTGCGGAGACGTGAGATTGCCTGTGAGTCTCAGTGTGGGGAAGGGAACAGAGCTTGGCTGACTCAGCAGGGGGTGGGGCACACAGCCCTCTCAGTATAGGTCATATAGAGTGTTGCCCCTGGAGAGGGGCAGTTAAGCCCAGTCGTGGACCATGGGATCTGGGTCCGGCTGAACTTGGATTCAGAATTCTAGCTCAGAAACAATCTGTATGGCCTTGGGGCATTGCTGGTCACCACTATTCTGAGCCTCAGTTTTCTTATCTATAAAATAGGGAGAACAATGATTACCTACCTCACAGGATCATTATAAAGGTTGGATGAGATCAGGCCTGGCACACAGTGAGCATTTCGCAAAGCATGCTGTTAGGGTTGCTGTTATCAAGGGCTGCGGTTGGCCCTCTTGTATTCCCAGGAGCTCTCCTTCCTGCCACTCCCCAGAAACGGTCTGGGGCATTCCATGTTGTCCATGATAATGAGGGGAGTTCTCGCCATCTAATCCTGAGAGCATTGAGCCACGTGCCAAAGAAGGCAAGGAGTTTGTTTGTAGGTGTCATTTAAAATAAGGAATGATTCTTTGGGGATGGCCCCATTCTTCCAAGCCTGGGTGCTTGAGTGGGCTCTTCCCCATGCCCTCGGTGAGGTTTACTGTGGGTCAGGCACTGTGCCACGCACTGCCCGTGCATCATATCATCTCACTACCTCCTGATGAGATGACAGATCATTAATGCCCCTGTTTTAAAGGTCACTATTGTCCATGATTTATACAAGAGAAAAATTGTGTTTGCCTTTCTGCAAGGATGTTTGTCAGATTAACTGATCAGGAATAGGATCGGTGTGGGGGACTTCTGTTTGCACCTTTTCAAACTTCCATATGGGTTAGCTTTTTTAAAATGAGCATGTGTGATTTTTTGTTTTTTTTTTAACATTTAAGTCTTTTGGAATTTATTGGATTCATTTTCTGGTCAAGTATATGATTTATTTATTTGTTTGTTTATTTTGTTATCATTAATCTACAATGACATGAAAAACATTATGTTTACTAGAGTCCTTGCTTCACAGAGTCCCTCCAACAAACCCCATTACAGTCACTGTCCATCAGCGTAGTAAGATGTTGTAGAATCACTACTTGTCTTCTCTATGTTGCACAGCCTTCCCCGTGCCCCCCCCAACATTATACAGAGCGTGTATGATTTTTATAACTAAAAAATTTCGAGAAAAATAACAGAAAGGTAAGAAAAGGAAATAACCCAGCGTTGTTGAGGGCTGTCCTATACACTGCCACCCAGGATACGTATCAGCAGGATCTTTCCAGAGAGCGGGGTAACTCATATTATCCGTGGCCTTAAAATTGCACTTCTAAAAATTATACTTAGGAAACAATCAAATAGATATGCACAAAAATGTCTGAGGAAGAATATTTATTGAGGTATCATTTAATAATTGCAAGAAGAGTCCAATTGCACCCAGAGAGAGTTAATCTAAGTGAACTGGTGATCCATCACTGTAGTACTCTGCAGGCACTGATATCACACCGCCATGCTGACATGGGGAAGTAGTCCTAAAAAGTGAGAAGGGGTATGTTTACTGCAATCACATTTTTATGTTATTATTGTGGCAAATTAATAACAATATAAAATTTGCTATTTTGACCATTTCTTATTGTACAGTTCTGTGGTATTAAGTACATTCACTTTGTTGTGCAACCATCACCCTTTTCTAGAACTTTCACCTTCCCAAACTGAAATCCTGTACCCATCAGACAACTCTCCATTTCCCCTCCCCCAGCTCCCACAGAACCACCATTCTGTTTTCTGTCGACTCACATAAGTGGAATCGTACAGTATTTGTCTTCTTGTGACTGGCTTCTTTCACTGAGCATAATGTCCCGGTTCATCCATGTTGCATCTTATGTCAGAATTTCCTTCCTTCTTAAGGCTGATTGATACTCCATTGTGTGTACAGACCACATTTTGTTTATCCATTCCATCTGTTAATGGGCACTTGGATTGTTTCTGCCTCTTGGCTGTTGTGAATAATGCTGCTGCAAACATGGGTGTGCAAACAACTTTAGTTCTCTGCCCTTATTTCTTTAAGTTTTTTAAAGTCCACACCTGTGTATTAAAAATTGACAAAGAATATATCAAAATGTAATAATGTCTCAGTGACAAGATTATAGAAGGTTTTGTGTGTGTGCCGTCCAGTGTTGTATAAAATTAGCCTTTCGAACTTAAGTTACTTCTTTAGTTTAACACACATATTTTTAAGGGTGACTATCAGGCGGGTGGCCTGGTGAGCCCTACCCCCTCAGGAGCAGGCGCCCCTTTCTCAGCCCCTTAACCATGTTTCCTCAGCTGCCATGCAGCAGATGCTGACCGAGAGCTGCAAGAACCGGCTCATCCAGACGGCCTATGAGTCTCAGAGGCAGAACTTGGTCCAGCAGGCCTATTCCAGGTAAGGTAAGGAGAGGCTCCCCGAGCGAGGGAGTCGGGGTTGCTGGTTCTGGGCCAGGGCCGGGAGTGAGAACTGGGCCCTGGAGTCCCCTGCCCTGGGCCACCCCGGCCTCAGGCACGTTCTCAGGGCCAAGTGGTGACCAGTCTTCATGACTTTTCTAGTTGGACCCCATGATTCTGTGATGGGCTGCAATAAGTGAAATAATCACTGTCGCATTCCACGCACCTGCCCTGTGCCAAGTGCTCAGTGGAGTGATGTGCGTTGGCTTACGGAATCTGTGAGGGACTACTTTGTCATTAGCCCCATTTTACAGTCATAGCTCAGGCTCAGACTGTGTGACAACCACGCAAACAGCTAGCAAGTGCCAGAGCCGGGATTTGAACCCAGGCAGAGTGGGGCGCGCTCCTGACCATGGTGCGCTCACTGACCTCAGGGGCTGCACAGGTCCGGGGCGGGCTGCACTGGCAGGGGTGGCCCTGGCTCTCCGAGGCCTCTGCAGCACCGTGTGCTTGTCCGGTGCAGGAGCCGCAGGTGAGGAAGCGTAGCTCAGGCCCTACTCAGGAGCCCCAGACGGGGGTGGGCCAGCACCTGGCTCCCCTTGTGCCTCCTCCCAGCTCGGTGGCTCTGGCACAACTGCCAGCCTCCCCTGTGTCCCTGCTGATGCAGGGATTTCTCCCTCCTTTCCTGGTAGTGTGACATTGTGCTTTGAAGTAAAGGCAGCAGCGCAGACAGACCTGCATTCAGACCCCACTTCTGTTAGTAACTGGAAGTCTTGGGCGAGTTACTCTCCCTCCCTGAACCTCTGATTTTCTTATTCAAGAGTCCCCAGAGGGCGTGATGAGTGTCAGTGAGCATAAAGCCTGCTGCGTGAGGATCCAGGAATAGCTGTTATGTCACAGACTCGAAACAGAGTGTCAAAGTACAGACACCTGTGGAGTTGCAGGGTTTGGGTCTTTGGCCGAAACCCCTAGACTTGTTTTAGAGTGCTGAGAGCAGACCCACGACCAGGGTGAGAGATGCTGGGGTCATGGGTACAGATGTCACTGCCCTAGAAGGACAGCTGTGGCTCATCCGGAAGGTCATGAGTTCCCCGGTGGTCAGAGGCCGGGCAACCACCTCAGGGGCATTATAGACAGAATTCAGGTGGAGGGAACGGATGAGGGGACCTGGAGGTCATTTCTCCCAACTGCCGAGACACCCAGACTCTGTCACCTTCCTTCCAGGACCATGGGATTCAGACAGACTCCGTGTCTGTGCCTAGCTCAGAACTTGGTCCCCAAGCAGGTGCTCCATAGGATTGTTAAATGAATAAATGGTTTCTCTCAACCTCCTCCAAGGTGCCTGGCACATAGTGGGTGCTCAGAAAAAGTTCAGAGAGTGAGTGAATTTGCTGTCTTTCTGGCAGCATGGCCGAAATGGATGAACGGTTCCAGCAGATTCTGTCATGGCAGCAGATGGATCAGAACAAAGCCATCAGCCAGATCCTGCAGGAGGTGAGCCTCTGCCGAGGGTGTGAGGGTGGGGCCTCAGGAGGGACCCTGGGGCCCAGAGCAGAGCAGCAGAGCCCCTGGATAGCTTGTGAGACCCAAGATACTTAGTGCATTAGGAAGAGAAGGGCAGGGAGAGGCCTCTGGTCACTGAAATCTAGTGAAGATCCCTCCGTTCCCTGGCAGGTGCCCGCTCCCCACACTGTGTGGGGACGACACTGTGAGACTTGAGGGGTGGGAGGCAGTGACCACATCACGGAGGTGGGGCACCTTGGGACCTTGGGCTTCTCACTTCCAAACCCACTGCACCTCTGCTCCCTTTCCTTCCTAGCCGGCACATAGTAGGCACTCAGGAGTGCAGTGCAGTGCGTGGGCTGGGGGAGGACCCTGTGACTCCCTCCTTGGCCCGTGCTGTTCTGTGTCCACTTTCCCCACAGGCCCTGTTGGACTCCCCCTAACTCTAGTCTCTCTACTTCTGGAAAAGTTCGATTTAATATTTGCAGGATTGTCTGAGGAAAATACTCTGTTTCTTAGAGAGGGTGTCTGGCCTTGTGGTTAAGGCAAGGCTCAGAGCTGGACAGACGTGGTCACGTCCTAGCGCCAGCCATTTCACATCTCTGAGCCTCACTCTCCTCATCTGTGCGATGGGGCATCATCCTTGTAGAGGTCAGTGTGCCATGTGGGCAGAGCACTGAACGAATGCAGTGTCCAGCACCTAGTAGGCCCTCAATAAACATTATCTTAAAAATGCAGACAACCGAGATGAACAGTTATTTTCTAAGAAACAAAGGAGTCACACATCAAGGAGTTTTTGACAGACTTTTTCCCCTGGCCCCGGCCCACGGGAAAGCAAGGCCGCCTGGCGTCTGCTGAGCAGCCCGCACTCTCTTGCAGAGCGCCATGCAGAAGGCCGCGTTCGAGGCTCTCCAGGTGAAGAAGGACCTGATGCATCGGCAGATCAGGAGCCAGGTGAGCACTGGGGGGGTTGTGCCTCACCCCAACCTTGCTGTTGGCTTTCAGAGCCACCAGGGGCAGCTAAGGGTTGAGTCCTGGCACCTCCACAGGCCAGCTCAGCCAGAGGCCTCCTCAACTCGGGACCTCCCTTCCCTCAGGAGACCTAGGTTTCCCTGCGGGAAGGTGCCTGGGGGCAGCACTCTAAGTGCTCAGCAACTGTGACTGGTTTCCGGGGAAGGTGGTGCCAGCGCAGGGCCTCAGCACTGACCACATCCAGGCAGGACTTCCTTAGTGGGGGAGAGCAGCCCACTCAAGCCCTGGCCACCCCTCAGCTCAGACCCGGTGTGCCAGGGCAGACTGCCCTCCCCACCTGAGCGGCCAGGGAGGTCCCGGTGGCCTGGGGGGGCCTCAGCAGCTGGGCGGGGTGGGGGGCGTTGAGCGGGGCTGTGCCTGACACCAGGCTTTCGGGGAAGGCGCCACAGGCACGGGGGCTGGAGGTGAGGCGAGCTTTCAGGCTGTGGGACTGCTCATTGCATTGTTTTCAGCACAGTTTGAATTTCACATTTTTGCATGTTTTTCTTTCTACTCTTTTCTTTTCTTTTTTGGCCCAAACCAATTTACCTTTTTATTTACCTCTTTAATTTCAATCCCACATTGCCGGACATGAAGCTCATTCCTCTGACCAGGGGTTGGTGGGATCCTAGGAACTTAGGGACACAGGTAATAGGCACAGGGTAGAGCAATCACTGGCTGCGGGGTCCGACCCCCAGGACTATAAGCCCCCAGTTGCACCGAGGGTGTGTGCCGACCCCCAGACACTCTTCCTGGGGGTGGCTTTGATCCACCGGCCAGCTTCAGACCCTGAGCAGGGACGTCCCCAGGAAAGCGCTCATACACTTACCCATCCTTTGTCATTGGGCAAATTCCTTAACCTCTCTGAGCCTCAGTTTCCTTATCTGTAAAGTGGAGGAATGATGCCTCTTAATAATCAGAGGAGAACTGATGAGGTGGTGCAGATTAAGTGCACAGCACAGGCCCAGCTCACAGGGTGCCTAGTATCGGCTGCTGCCGCCGCCATCCAATCACTTCTGATCTCCGCTCTCCTCTGTGGCAGCTGCCCAGCGGCAGCAGCAGAACTGGGTCGCTGAGCGGCTCGGCGAGGGCGGCCGTCCTCACTCCGGCCTGAACCGAGGCGGGGGCCCTTCCTCTGCACAGGCCTTCATCCAGCGCCCGCCCCGGGGCAGACCAGCTCTTGAGCAGCAGCATTGGCCAGGGCAAGCGTGGCCACACCCAGAGCACTTGGGGTCATGAAATAACTAATTCTTTTTAAACCCCCACTGATGAGCTTCCTGAGAGGTTCACAGGTCCCCTTCATTCCAGGGCCATGCAACCCAGCTTTCTTAGACCCTACTTGGTCTTCAGAGGGCAACAGCACAGATTCAAACCATGGTTAATGTGAATAAAAAAAAAAACCCTGTCTCATCTTCTGTTTAGATTAAATTAATAGAAACTGAGTTATTGCAGCTGACACAGCTGGAGTTAAAGAGGAAATCCCTGGACACAGAGGCACTGCAGGTATGTAGGGCTCCCTGGCCTGCCCTCCCCTCTTCCCCCACCCGGTGCCCCTGCCTCTCGGCTGCTATTCTCCAGCAGGCAGGGCAGGTCTCCTCTGTGGCCATGATGCTGGACGATGCTGCAGCTCTGGAAGGAGCCAGGGAGCTGAGCCCAGCACAGGCCAAGGTCAGCAGTGCGGTCAGCCTGTTGCCAGGCAGGAGGTCAGAGGAAGGAGGGTTTCATTGCCGAGGCTCACCCAGGCCGACATCTCCATCTTTCCATTTTCTTTGTTTTGAAGCAGGGTCACTGCTGAGATCCCTGTGTCTAAGCAATGCTTCTGGGGCACTGGTTCGATTCATGGGCTGACATTCTCTGGGGAGGAGCTTTCTTGATGTCCCAGGGATATCTGGAGGAAAGGCCCACCTGTTACATTGTCACTCCCTGCAGGTGGCTTCTCTGAGCTACAGCCTGGGTATCCTGTTCCTAGAGACATGGGGGCAGAGGGACCAGCAGCTGGCATTCTGGACTGCAAGTCCGGGACCTAGGCTGTGACCCGACACAGTCTTGCTATGAGACTTGCAGACTGAAGAGGGACAGCCTTTTCCCTGCCCTGGACCTCAGTCTCTCCAAAGTTACAAAAGGGGCTGCATCAGTGGTGTGAGGACCTGTGCCCTGTGTTAGCCTTTTGAGCAGAGTCTTCTGTCTGTCACTCTCATTGTCCCTGTGTCTCTGCTCAGTGGAAAAGTCTTGTCTTATGGACTTCTCAATGCATTCAAAGGGTGCTAGGGTCTGGAGTTCTGGTCTCAGGCCTGCCATGGATGCCTTGTGTGACCTAGGGCAGGCCACCTCCCTCCCTGGGCCTCTCTTTCTCCCCTCCATAAAGTTGAAAGACTCTTCCAAGCCCGGCCTGTGTCATGGGGCATCAGACTGGGGCGAGCTAGCAAGTGCAAAGCCCTCTGTGTGCCTCGAGGTGGTCTTCAGAGATGAGGGCTTGGGGTAGCTCTGAGAAGTTACAACCACCATGCTTGGTGGGTACCCTTGTCTCCTGCCCACTAGAGCTTGTGGGGCTCCCATTTGGGGGGCCTCCAAGAGTTAAGAGATGAGTGGAGCCCACACACAAATGAGGGCTTCCCTCCAGTTTCCATGTGCCTCCATCTGTGTAGAGCCTGCCAGACTGTGGGGTTACACGCCAACCCTCCCTGCCAGCTGCTCTGTCCCCATGCTCTGTAGCCAGTGAGACCAAAGTCAGATCCCTGTGGCTTGACATTGTCTTTGATGTTTCTTACCATTCCCCTGTCATCAGTCACTAGATCCCATGCCAGGCCTTAGCCCTGTGGGAAAGGGAGTGGCAGGCTTGCCAGAAGGCACAGAGGGGATGCCCGGGCAGTGGGGCCCCTTAGCTCTGCTCCCCAACTCTCAACTAGAGCCCATGTGCAGAGCCTTGAAATGAGTCAGGCCCACTGGGGGCCCAGAGGGCAGCTGAGAACTGAGGGGGGCTCCTGCCGCCATGCCACAGGGACTTCACGTGCTGGGTGACATGAGTGGCCGGGAGCACTGGCACCGTCTTGTATTGCAGGAGATGATCTCGGAGCAGCGCTGGGCCCTCAGCAACCTGCTCCAGCAGCTGCTGAAAGAGAAGACGCGCCGAGAGGAGGAACTCCGGGAAATTCTGGTGCGTTGGCTTTTGTGTTCAGCATGGCACATGGGTTTGCAGTCCATAAGCACACTTGCGAGTCTTAGAAACACTTTTGTTATTCAGTAGTTGTTCATCAGATTAAAAATAGAAAGTACAAAGGAGAAGAACCTCACCCTGGCAGTTACCTGTTGCTGCTGCTTTGACATGTGATGATGCACAGTGACAGCTCTGCTTGCCCACGCAGTATAAACGTGAACCACCGTGCACCCGTCTGTAACCAGCTCATTTGCATCAGTTCTATTCAGGTCTTAAAATGGCCTCTGTGCACTTTCCTGGCTGCATTTGGATGGGCCATTGTTTAGCCTATCTATTGTCAAGCATTTAGACTTCTGGTTTGTCACTTTTATAAGCAGCGCTCTCTGACTGTCTTTGTATCTGAGTTATCTGAGAACCACCGTATTTTCTGAGGACAGATGCCTAGGAGAGGGCTTGCTGTGTCCAGGGTAAGCCGTTTAATATGCCTTTGACAGGAGTTGCCTGACTGTCCCCTATGCCTGAAATGTCCCCTATGTCGGGTTTGACTCTGACACATTGTGAGGCTGGCAAGTTGGGGTCATTTCCTCTAGGACCCCAGTGCACCTGAGCAGAGAGGACAGGACAGGCCCACCAGCTGAGGCTGAAAGGACCGAGTCATTCCCACGGCATCCTTAATGCTCCAGAGTCTTTGGGGCTGGACCTCGGGCCAGGCCCCCTGCAGGGTGCAGAGAAGAGTGAGACCAGATTCTCCCGGAGCCCTGGGCATGCTTGTGCCAAGCAGAAGCTGCCTGTTCCTCCCTGTGCCTAACTGCCATCGTCTACAAACTGTCGGGTGCAGGTGACTTTTTAGCTTTGTGCAGGGCAGCTGGGAGCTGTGGTCTTGTGCTCCTGCCGTCAAGGGGCCTCAGAAGACCCCCCATCTAGGGGAGGAGGCACCGCCTCAGCAGAATGTGACCATCAGGGTCCTAGGTTCCTGAAGACAGGTGTGCCCTCAGCCTAGGGAAGGCCACCAGAAGAAGGGAATCAGCTCAGCAAGTTGGTGGGACCGCCGAATGGTAGTCAGGTCCCCACAGGCACTGGGGAAGTGCCTGTGTTGAAGTCCTTCTTACCCACATCACGTCTGGCCCCAGTGTGCAGCTGTGCAGCCCTGCAGGAGCCGGTAGGTGGTTCAGAGCACAGGCTCCCGAACAAGACCGGGTCCAAATCCTGGCCCTGACTCCAGGCAGCTCTCCTCACTGGGCAGGTGACTGGTCACTCTGAACCTTGGTTCCTCGCCTGGGAAGCAGAGCCTACTAGGCTTCTCTCAGTGCACACCACGTGTCAGGCACATGGCGCTCTGGAAACATCAGCTCCCGCTGCTGTTACTGGTATCATTCATTCACTACTCTGTTTCCAGCACCCAGGACAGCGCTAGCCCTGAACAACTCTCAGCGAGTATTTGTCACATGGCAGAAAAAGGAACCAGTTTCAATGACATGTTTATAATTCTCCGGCTTTGCCAGCATGATGAAGCCCAGTCCAGGAGCTGACCAGGAGCTGAAGTTGTCCTTAGAATCCTACTCCTCTCCCTGCTTGGCCCTTGGAGGCCTGAACTTTTGTGGGATAAGGAGATGGCCGGGTATGCTTTGCTCTTCCCAAACGCAGATGAGAAGACGTCCCAGAGTGGCGGCATACAGAGCATGGTGCCAGGTGTCAGGAGCCCAGGTTCAGGTGCCCCCCAGGTGTGCAATGTCTCTGAGATCATTCTTAGCAATAAGCTGGCCATCGCGATGCCTCCTGCCTTTTCCACTTCAGCGGTTTAAATGGTGAGACAGCGATGGGTCAGAAATTGCTTTGTGAAACACCAAGTGCCATCCACATACTCGGGTGTCGTTCACAATCATTACTGTCGTCATAGTTTTTATTTGCCGGTTTGTAACAATGGTGCCCGCTTTATCCTTGTCAGACGGAGTTAGAAGCAAAAAGTGAAACCAAGCAGGAAAATTACTGGCTGATTCAGTACCAGAGGCTTTTGAACCAGAAGCCCTTGTCCTTGAAGCTGCAGGTGAGGCCTGGTGGTGCCCCCCCTGACAGGCAGTTTGGGGGGCCCTCCTTCCAGAGACCTAGGTGCTCGGTCCTGCCCTGTGGCTTGGTCTTTCCAGCTTAGCTCTGTTCCCATTTCTGGTGCTAGTGTACCAGGTCCTGGGATTGAGCCGAGTCATACAGAGCGCTCATTCTGGTGAGGGGTCAGCTGCGGGTCACTGCTGCATGGGGTGGGTGGGTGACAGAACTGTCCTCGAGCACCTGCTGTGGGCAGGACAAATGTGGTCCCTTTTCTCTCACACACACACCCCTTTTTTTATTTAAATAAAAACAGAGTCATTCTATACATACAAATTTGGCAAACTTTTTATGTTCATAATAGCAGTCGGTAGTTTTCCAGGTCTATACATACATACCCATTTCATTGTTTCCAGACAAGTGTATAATGTTTACTCTCTGGATGGACCCTCGTTCATTTAAACAGTCCCCTCTTGGTGGGTACTTAGTTGCTTCCCATTTTCATTACAAACAGAACGGCAGTGATCATCCTTTAGGTTTATCTGTATGTGTTACACATGCATTTTTGTCGGGAAAAATGCCAAGAATGTGTTACGTATTCAAATTGTGCTTGCTATTGTGAATAACGGGTCCTGCTGTCTTCCTGCTCGGGGCTCACAGGGGCTCTCGTGGGTCTGCTTGCAGGAGGAAGGTGTGGAGCACCAGCTGGCAGCCCTCCTGGTGGAGCTGGCAGCCGAGCACTACCTGCCAGTCTTCGCCCACCACCGCATCTCCCTGGACATGCTGAGCCGGATGAGCCCCAGGGACCTGGCCCAGGTGGGAAGAAGCAGACCCTCCGGGGAGGCTAGGGGAACGGGCGGACAGGCAAGGCCAAGGGTCAGCTCGTTGTTCATGTGGTTCTTGGTGAGGTTGGCCGTTATCAGACACCCCAGGGTGCCCTGCTCCCAGCAGCCCGAGCCCTAGCCCCAGCTGCCCCCAGCCACCCGGGTGTGCCCTCCACACTGTCTGGCTGAGAAAATCCAGGGATGTAGGTCTAGACTCCAGAGAAGTCCTTGAGGGCACCTGGTCCAGCCCCCACCTCGCTGAGCAGTTTTACAGATGCCATGATGGCAGCGCTGCCTGAGCCTGGCTACATTCTGGGTAGGAACTGAGCTCTGCACTGCATTGACTGATTTCCTCCTCAGAAGAGACAAACCGTGATGGCGGCTGGCATCTCTGTAGCGCTTGCAGAGCCGGGCGCCATCCGCCACACCCTTCACATACAAACTCATTGAATCCTCCCAACAACCCAGGCAGGCAGGTATCATCATTGTCCTCATTTTTCAGATGAGGAAACTGAGTCACAGCAAGGCAGCACCTTGCCCGAGATCGCCCAGCAGGGCCAGGACTGGAGCCCAAGCTGTCTGGGCTGGGGTCCAGCTGTTTAGCGCTCTCCTAGACTGCCTGTCCTTGGCAGATGCAGAAACAGGGGCTCAGAAGGCGGCCCAGCTCACCCGAACTCAGTGTGAACTCCCTGACCCCGTGAACTGTGACAGGATCCTGGCCTCCCAGATGTCAGCAGGGGCGGCATAGGTCACACAGGGGAAGCCGTCCACACAGGCCCCTCACAGGGAAAGCATGTGCTGCTCTATGGCGTTGCCAGTGTTGGTTTCCCAGTGGGCCCCAGTTTCTCTTCCTGCCATGCTGATTGTTGGGCTCTGGCCTAAAGAAGGATCCTCACAGCTATGGTGTTGTACTGCCTCACATTGACCCTGGGACCCAGGCCTCCGTGTTTCCAGCAGAAGGTGCCAGAAGCCTGAGATAGGGCAGTCCTGGTGGCTCCATGTTGCATAGGGTACCCTGCCCAGCCCAAGCCCTGACCTGCTCTTCCTTGGACTGCTGCAGGTAGGCGTCTCAGAAGCTGGCCTGCAGCACGAGATCCTACGCAGAGTCCAGGAGCTGCTGGATGCAGCCAGGATCCAGCCAGGTACCGTCACCAGGGCCTCTCCTCTAAGCAGAGGCCCCAGCCTTCCACGTGGGCTGTAGCCGGGGCAGTCACACGTTTCAGGATAATGAAGGGCCGGCTTAGCCCCTGGCCAGTTTAGTCCTTATGGTTCCCTCCTATAGGAAGAGGACTTAGAAATGGGAAAAACAGGCCACAAAAATGGGAAACAGTTTCTTCACAGCAGTGGTGGGGCCCTCCTGGCTCCCTGTCCCATAAACCCACCCTACAGACAGTGGGAACCACACAGCCAGGGTCCCTGGAATAGAGAAAAACAGCTGCACCCAGTACCTGCACATGCCCGGCACTGCCTGGAGCAGGCCTGTGTTTGGACAGGGCAGGTGTTTTTGATGGGTTGTAATGGGGTAAAGGCAGGTTGTAAAGGTGCCCCGCCCCAGGCTGGAGGCCCTGAGGTAGGTGCCATGGCTGAAGGAGAAGCAGGTGTGGGAGTCGGGGTCTCCTGTGGACTGACTGTGGTCCAAGTGCCAGGCATTTGCTGACAACCACTTCAGAAGTACCACATCATGTCACCTTCATTTCACAACCCCCTGAGGTGGGCATGTTGTTATCCTCATTTGAGAGGTGAGGAGACTGAGGCAGAGAGAGGTAACCTGTCTCCCATAATGTCAAACAGCTGGCGAATACCCGAAATACCAAACTTTACTGCCTTCTTCAGGAGGAGGCTGAGTGGGGGAGGCAGCCCGGGGCCTAGAACAAGGGTGGAGCAGCCACGGCGGGCGTGGGGCAGGGTCTGTTCAGGGCAGAGGCCAAAGATGGAGTGACTTGGGGGGTGAGAGGCGGGAGCAAGGCTGCCCAGCACGGGGGGAGGCCCAGGCTCCCCCGGTGTGCGGGCTCTCAACAGTGCTGTGACGTCCACTGGCTCCGGCCTTCTAGCTGGTCTTACTCCGGGGATCTTGACTCAACCTAAGAAGTCATTAAACTTCCAGTGATGACTTTGATATAATACTAAGCAATGTGCAAAATAGATGCTTTCTTCCCTTCCAGATGTTCCCCCAGCACTGCCCCAACCAGGCTGGAGGCAGGATGAGTTTGGCATGAGGATTTGGTGTTTCCCCCACCTGGCTGGGCAGACACATCTCTCGAGCCCCTTCACTCTGAGCACCCTGGCATCTCCTATCACCCCTAGACCAGCCAGAGCCGCTCTTTGCCACTGGGGGACCTACGTCCATGTCTCGGCTGCTTAGGGCCTCCTGGCGGCGCCCACCCACAGGGAAGGCCCTGGTGGGGTGCCTCCTCCAAGTTCCAAAGGGACAGGAGATCCTCAGGCATTGCCTAACAATTCTCTGCTGTTCCAAAGCTGTGTTAACTAAATATGAAAGCCCCTTTACTGTGATGGTTTGGGGCACCGTGATACTGTTGTAATGGGCCTTTAAAAAAAAATCTTAAGGTTATTCTGATTATAAAAAATACTATTTGTAATTGAAAATGTAGAATAAATGGAAAAACATGAGCCATGGTTGGGACGGGGCCAGGGATGGAGAAGGCTCAGAGATGCCGGTGCACATCATGATTGTCAGAGAACCTGCCTTTTGTGAGGGCCAACTCCGATATCCTGCTGCAGGCCGATTGGGGTGCAGGCAGGGGAGGCTGGCTCCAGGGCAGAGCAGTGGGCACACTAGGGCCTCTGTCAGGGGGGCTTCTCATTCTTCTGGCCCCTCCATCCTGTGTCCTGGGCCACCTGGTGGAAAAGCCCGGAGCGTGACTGGGTCGACCTCAGAGCTCCTTCCACGGGCTGCTGCACTGCGGCTCCACCACTAGATGGCGCTGTGGCCTTGGGAAAGTGGCTCTGCCCTCTGAGCCTTAGGTCTCTTGCCTCTGGGAAGTGACAAGCCCTGCTCCCAGGGTGGCTTTGAGGGACCCAGGGGGATGTCTGGGGGTAAGAGGACCCAACTCACCAGCGCTGTGGCCATCCTGTCCCAGCACTCCCACTTTATAGATGAGGGTGTGCAGTGAGGCTCAGAAATGAGAAGCTCCCCCCTGTTCTAAGAGTGGAGTGTCCTTACCCTGAGCTCACCATCCACTTGGGATAGGCAGTCAAGGGAGCCCCCTGGGGATTGAGATCCCTGGGGGATGCGCCCTGATTCAGCTTATCCCTCTGGTCCCCACAGAGCTGCTCAAACTACCCAAGAGAGAGGTCCTCGGGGCCCCGACGCCCCCTACTGCCCCCAAGGAGCTCCCTGAGTCAGTGAGGCCTTCCGCTCCCCCTGCAGAGCTGGACGTGCAGACCTCAGAATGTGTGGTGTGCCTGGAACGGGAGGTGAGTCTGGGTAGCGGGTCCAAATCCACCCCCAAGCTCCCTACCTGCCTGCAGCCCTCCAAGCCTCTCCAGGCTCGTGGATTATTTCTAAATGCTTTTTTCTAGTAATAGAAGTATACCGTATTCATTAGAAACTCTAGAAAATACAAGAAAGCAAAAAATACAGGAAACTAAAATGACCTATGATCCTATGATCCAGGTATAAGCAATGCTAGCATCATTTTCTGGGCCTTTTTTTTTTTTTCCCCAAAAGAGGGATTTCTCCCCTACTTAAATATGTTGAGGAGAATTTTCCAAGTCATTAAATATCCACGACACAATTGTCTCCAAAGAGGCTTTTTTAAACTAACAAAATTAACACTTATTTATATGCTTTGCTGTTTAATTTTTACAATAAAAATCCTCCCCTCCTTCTGCCACAAGATCCTGCTTAGAAAAGGCAAACACATTAGCGATTTGGTGCCATGGTCCCCCTGGACCTCGGGAATGCCGTGATATGCGGGGACCCAGTTACAAACACCCTTGCTTTGGGCCCCGTCGGTGGCCTCCAATTTCTTGTTGCAAACAGTGCTGTACCAAACAGCCTTGAAAGCACATTCCGTGGAGACTTCACAGGCAGAAATGCTGAGACAGAGCCCGGTACACATGCACAGCTTGGATCTGTCAGGCTGGAGTACCTTTCTGACCCGGGGCTAGGCACTGAAACGCCCAGCAGCCAGGCTGCTTAGATATGCTGTGACTCCCCTGTACAGCCATTAGACGGGCGTGAGGCATGTCCAGGGTGGGTGGGCACATGTATTTCTGGGGTGGCTGAATGTGGCATGTATTTGTATGATGACCCTGATTTTTTAGGTAAGGAACAACCAGGGGTCTGGGGGATTCAATGGCGCCATCCCCAGGGAACCAGGCAGGGGCAGGGCCCAGACACTCCCACTCTCTCTGCAGGCCCAGATGATCTTCCTCAACTGCGGCCACGTGTGTTGCTGCCAGGAGTGCTGCCAGCCACTCCGTACCTGCCCACTGTGCCGCCAGGAGATCGCCCAGTGCCTCCGGATCTACCACAGCAGTTGAGCCCTGGCTGCCAGCCCCAGGCCCAGACCACCTCTACCGCCTGGAGGCCCGGGTCTCCGGCTCACTGCCTGCTCTGGACAGACTAGTCCGGCCCCCTCCATCCTGGGCCCTTTCCCACCACGGCCTGGAAGGGCACCCCCTACCCTAGATCTCTAGGCACCTCTGGACCAGCAGGACAAGAACAGCTAGTGTTCCTGACTGATGACGTAGCTGGTCTAATACTGTGAAGGAAGAGAGAGGACCCCTTGGCACAACCACAGGATCTGGGGCATGCAGACGGCTGCCCTACCGTCTGAGTGCGGGACTGAGCATCCTGGCCAGCGTGCCTCTGGGGCACACAGGCAGTGCCATCCCACTCAGTGGAGTGGTAGGCATGCAGGAGGGCCCTAGCCAAGGGGTTGGGAAGCCATGGATGGAGCTTCTGGTCACAGCGGTGTGACCCACCACAGTGGGCTGTCCTCAGAGTGGCTGCTGTGTGTTAGGCCTTGTGCGTCCCTGCCTCCCTCTCTCCTGTTCCCCAGCACTCTGGGCCTCTCTGCTCTCCGGATCTGTACCTCCTCACCCCGTGCAGTTCACAGGCAGGCAATGAGCTTGGCAGCAGGGATGTCAATAAATTAACCTCAGCCTGCTTCTTCCAGGTCATCACTGGGTCCTGGCGGAGCCTGCGGGAGGGGACAAAATGAAGTCTGGGATGTAGCCAGGGAAGGGCTGCACCGCAGTCGGGAGAGATGAAGTGGAGGCATTCCTAGATGTGAAGTTCTCTAAGCCTCCCCGTGTTACAGGTGGAGAGATGGGGCATCAGAGGGGAAGGCACGGAGAGTCAGCCAGAGCAGTCCTGTGGCGTGGGGCCTGCACTGTGCACTCCAGTATCATTACCCGGATGACGGAGCCAAAGCTGAGGAGCTGAATGCCTGGGCCTTGCACAGGCCCTGGCAATGCTGCATTTGGGGCACTTGACTCCTGAACCCGGGCAGTCGTGCAGGTTGCTGACTGCACAGTTCTAGGAGCCGTGTACCTTGTGCTTGCTGTACAGTTGCTCATCTGTTGTCCGTTTTTTGGCAGAAGGCAGAGGCCTAAGGCAGCTTTTCCTTTGGGCTAGAAGCAGGCCTGCTCGGGGTACCTGGGCTCGGCCTCCAGCTACCTCTCACCCTGGCCATCCCTCCAGTCGCCAATTTCCGCATCCTTCAGCAACAGACGTGACAGGTTGGTGGCCACCAGGGGGCACTGTGTGCTCACTCCATGTGCCTGGCTGGATGCAGAGGACAGGCCCCTGGTGGGCAGAGCCCCAGCTCCCCTGGGCCTCAGTTTCCCTACCTCATGTTTCTTCCTCACCGACCCTGTGTGCTGAAATGGGAGGTGAAGGCCCCCTGTGTGAGTCCTGCTTTCCAGGCAGGAGCTGGGGCCTCTTCTGTGTCGGTTCTTCCCCTGGCACCTCTGATGGTTCCCCTCTCCCACCCTCCAGGGTTCAGCTTGGCCAGGGAGGGAGACTGACTGGACAGCAGAGCTGTGTGCAGATCCCCTCGAGCCCTCCCAGGCCCCAGGCCCCAGGCCCCAGGGGGGAAGAATTCTGTAATCCCCTTTTATACCTGTGCCCGAGGACTTGTCAGGGGCAAAGGTCAGACTACAGCTGGATTCCTGCTCCAGCCCCAGCCCTGCTGTTGCTCAGCCCTTGTCCACAAGCCCCCTCAGCCACTGCCACAAAGGTGACTGGCTACCACCCTACCCTGTAGAGACATGTTTTTACCCTTGGAAGGGGCAACCCCTGCCCCTCAGCTATATGTGTGTTTTGGGGGGACACGCTATGCCCCATAGCCTCAGCCAAGATTTTCCACTTCCTGGGCCTCGGTTTACACCTTGGTGAAAGGGTGGTGACAACGGCTCCCACCTCCAGAGCTGCTGGTCCTGCCCGTGAGGCACTAGGCCCACAGTATCTAGTAAACACTGTCTTCGTGGCCCAGATCCACTGTGGGCACCCCAGGGCCAAGTGGCCTTAAAGCTGCTGTCATCCTGTCTGACTGGTCACCCGACGTGGCCCGAGGAGCACCCTGCAGACCTCGCTGAGGGTTCTACTGAGCTGCCATCAGCTGGTTACCCGTGTGCCCCACGGCCCCTCTCCTACGCTCAGCTTCCTCTGTGAAGTGGGGTAACGGAGGAGCTCTGGCCGTGCACCCCGAGGCACTCTGCCAAGGGACAGGATCAGAAGGCCAAGGTGCATGGTCATTCCTAGACCGGATCGCCCCCTGCTGGCACCACACACAGGCCACTAGCTTTAAATCATTTATTGATTAGTAGAAGCTTAAACTGTTTGCATAATCTTTTCAATACAATATCTGAGAAGGATGATTGGAAAACCCCAAAAGAAGGCACCAGAGGAGAGCATCTTAAGGTGGAATGTGTTGGTCAAGAGGTGAGTGAGGCGTTTGAGGTTGGGGCTGGGGGGCCTCGGAGGTCCCTGAGCACCAGCCCCAGCCACACATCCTGTGGGTCCGGGAGCCAGGCCCCAGGAAGGGGGTCGCGGGCTGAGGGGCGGTCTCGGTCCTGCTCGCCCTCCCCTCCAAGGGCCAGGAGAGGGGCACGGACTGGGGACTGCCTAGGCTTGACCCGCACCCCCAGGAATGAGAAGCCAAGGAAGGATGATGGGCCAGGCCCCCAAGTGACTCACAGTGACATCTGAAAAGGGGCCTAGAATTTTCAGGGTGAGGTGACAGTGAAGCAGTAGGGGCTAAGCCACAGCCAGACTCCACATCCTCAGGTGCCGTGAGAGGTGCCTGGGGTGCCCTGGCCCCTCTGCCCTTCGGGAGCTCTGCCCAGCCCCCTCAGGGGACAGCACGTACCTTGGACGTGGCCTGTAGAAGACAACCCTGCCTCTGATCCACGTGCCATGTCCACCCACACCCAGCCCCAGCCCAAAGCGAAATGGGCCCAACAGGCGGGGGAACAGAGGAGTCCCGGAGCCTGGGCGCCGACGGGCTGGGAGGGAGGGCTGGGCGGCTCGGGCCTGCTCCCGCTTCAGGCGGCCTGCCCTCCGCCACCCTAGCAGCACCGGCCCACGGGCTCCCCTGGGCCCACACCGCCCCACCTTGCCTTGGGACACCTCCTCTCCTCAGATCAGCACATTCTGGGCCTTCCTCGCGCACCCCAGGCCCACCGCCTCTCCTGGCCCTGCCCGGCTCCAGCCTGAAGGCCCCTGGAGCCCTCCTGGCGCCTCCCTCACCCACAGCAAGGAAAGCCAGGCCAGTGTCCCCCCCTCTGAGTCACCACAAACGCTGCCTTTACCTCCCTCTTTCCGAGAAGGATGGCGAGACCTGTGAGGGCAACAGGCCGTCATGGAAGGGCGGGAAAGGAGGATGCAGGGAGCCGGCCGCCCCCAGCCCCCAGCACAAGGAGGAAGCCTGAGATCATCCCACAGAAGAGAAAACGGAGCAACTGGGTGTGACCAAGCCCCAAAGTGACATAGGTGGGCCGCCTGCCCACGTCCACCTGAAAGCACAGAACCGCTGATCCCACCTGGAGCCGAGCCTGCCAGGGTCTTGGAAGGCATGGCCCGTGTGCTGTGTCCAACAGGAGCTTGGGGGTGACCAGCCTAGAACTCAGTCTGCACCCCTGTGCTGTCCTCGGTGGTGGTGTGGATGGGTGGGCGGCCACCGGGGCTGGACACCTGCTCCCCGGTCTCCTGGTCACTGGGCTTGGGAGACGCAAGGTCCACGGCCTTTCCAGGCGGGAGTTGCCGAGGGGGCGAGGCAGGCGGGGAAGAGGCCTCTGGGGCTGCCCCTGGCTGCGGGGTCTCCTGGGTAGGGGCCCCATTGAGCAGGGGGGCAACCAGTGGGGGGCTCTCAGCAGGCAGATCCTGGGCTGTCAGGCCACGGAGCTCAGAGACCCTGTCCGGGGACACAGGTGATGGCGGCTCGGGGACAGCCTCCAAAGGCAGCCCTGCGTCCTCGTCCCGGATCACGGACACCACCTGCTTGGCACGCCGTCGCCTTTCTGAGAGGGTAGCTGCTTCTGGGAGGGTGGGGCTGGGGCTGCCACTGTCCCCACTGCCACCGTACTCCTCGCCCCAGTCGATGGGTGTGCCCTCGGCCAGCAGGTGCAGGTTGGGGTCGCTGTTGTGCATGACCATGCTGTCCCGGTAGAGGTTGTGCTTCCTCTGCACAGCAGCCTCCTTCACGGCTGCAGGGCCGACGGGAAAGGGTCAGGACACCCCGCGCTGCCCAGACACCACCCACATCATCCCCGAGCCTCCCCACAGCCTGAGTGGGTGTCATGATTGTGACGAGACCAGGATGGGAAGGAGCAGAGCTGTGAGCCCGAGCTCATAACCACCCTGCCATCCCGTCACTCATCTGGCAACACTGGGGCTCAGCCCAGCCCACAGGCCTAAGTCTTGGGCTTGTCCTGGCACCTTAGCTGACCCCACCACGGAAGACCTCAGTGGCCACGCCCCTCACCCCTGAAGCCCCACCCAGCACTGCAGCCAGCCCTCCAGGGGGCAGGGCCAGCGCGTACCCTGCAGGATGTCCTTCATGACCGTCTGCAGCACCACCTCCTCGTACGTGTTCTCCACCAGGATGAACCTGGCAAAGTCCTCGAAGATCAGCTCCTGGAACCGGGGCAGCTCCTGCAAGGCAGGGTGGGCACAGGGGCAGAGGGAGGGGTGGCCAGGCCAGTCAGGCCAAGAGAGGGTCTGTGTTCCGACCCCACCTGGGGCCTGTGGGGTAGAGGGCGGGCAGTCAAGGGGCTGGAGCAGGTTTGGGGGTGGTGGTGGGAGGGCAGGTGTGCTCACCGACTTGCAGGTGGGGGCCAGCTTCTTGAGCAGGAAGGGGATGGTGATCTGCAGCAGTGCCTCCCGGAAGAAGCGCTTCCGCACGGAGCTGCTGTCGTAGTCGTATTTCTGCCGGGGAAGAGGGGTAGGGGTCTCTAGGTCAGTGGGCTCCATCCGCCCCCAGCCAGAGCCTCAGTATCCTCATCTGTGCAAGGGGTCATCCCTCCCAGGGCACAGCCGGTCACCTTCAGCACCCGCTCCAGGATGCGCTGGATGGACTTGCAGAGCTCCTCCTTGGTGGGTCCCTTCCCCAGCTCCTGGTGCAGGAGGGTCTCGAAGGTGTACACAGCGTTGTCCATTTGCTGCAGGGCACACGAGAACCCCGGGGTGACCAGAGCCCCTCCTGTGTGCCTCTGAGGGGCTCCTAAGCCAGCCATCCTCAGCCTGCCAGGGAGGAGTGGGGCAGCTGTGTGCTGCCCCACTTGTCCACTCACGTCCTTACTGAGTGTCTACTGGGCACTGGCACAGTGCTGGCCACTGGGGCCAGTCCCTGCCTCAAGGAAACAGAGGTCCTGGGCCCTGCAGAAAGAGGCTTCCCGGAGGCAGGGGTCCCTAAGCTGAGACCAGAAAGTTGAGTCCAAATAAGCAGGTGAACAGAGGGACGGGACAGGTGTGCCCAGTAGACTGGACAGCAGGAGAGAACAGGCCAGGGGCTGAGCACCTGCAGTGGGCATGTGAGGAGGGCAGGGCCAGGGAGGAAGGCACAGGGCAGGCCTCTCCCAGGAGACAGGGACCTGTGGAAGGTGGGTGGGGTGTGCTGGGGCCGCGGCCTCGGACCCACCTCACGCATGTGGATCTGGGCTCGCTGCTTGAACACCGACGTGCTAGACACATCGAAACGCTGCTGCAGGCCGTCGAGCCGCAGCGGCTCCATCTTCTCGTAGCAGCTCTGCATCTTGAGGGGGTGGTACGCCAGCTGGGACAGCTTCTCCATGTACTGCAGGGAAGCGGGACATGCAGGGCCTGAGCTTGGGCTGCCTGCATGGCAAGGCCCTTGCCTTGCCTGGGCCCTTGGTGTGCGGGCCCTGAGGCTGGCCCTGGCACCGGGACGGCCACCTGGGGGTGGGGCCCATAGGTGAGCCCTGGAGGGCCCAGACAGGCAGGGTGAGGACCCGAAGGGAGGAGTGTGGTCCAGCAGCACAGACTCTGCCGGGAGGAAGGTCCTCGCCTCTTTGTGGGGCACTAGGTGACCTCGGGCAAGTCATCATCGTCTCCCCTTCCCCACCCTCAGAATCAGGAGGTGGGTTTTTGCCATCTCTCGGGTCTCTCTTGGCTCTCAAATTCAATGATCTTATTGTTTGTGGACTCCTCAGTTTGGGGTGTGGGAGAGGAGGCTAAGATCACAGGAGGTGTTCCACCTGCATGGACGACCTTGGGGGCTTCAGGCAGCCTCGCACCCCAGCGGGGGGGTCTGGGAAGGACCTTAACCCCAAGGACCAGACAATGAGAAGGGGGAGAGAGGCTGCCTCCAGTTTTGGGGTACACGAAATGGCATGTTTGCATTTAATTCTGCCTCAGTAATCGTATCACTCATGCCTGACACTTGCCCTCCCCTCCTTCCCCTTCCCCCTCCCCATCCTCTTTCCCCCTTTCTCGGTTCAGTTCTTTTGGATTTTGGCAACCCGCTGGACTTAGAGGCTGCTGGCAGGGGATAATGGCTCCCCCTTCCACTAACAGGCAGGACAGCTGGCATCTTTGGCCTCATGCACTCAGCCCCCTGGTCTCCCAGAAGACCCTCTTTACAAGTTGTGCCCCAGAGGGGACTGGCCCACCCTGAGTCCCAGGGAGGGCCTGATGGGGACAGGCCAGACCCAAACCCAGGAGGCCCCTCCCCAGGGCCTGGCCTCACCTCGCCCAGCTTGTCAATGCCACCCTCATTGATGACATTCAGGTTCATGTCGGTGACCTCCTTGAAGAAGACGTCCCGCACCTCAGTGAAGCCCTGGCTGGTGGGCACCATCAGGGCCTCCAGGATGGACGGGATGTAGGGCTGGACGTGGTTCCGGACACACACCTCTGCCTTGGGGAGGATGAAGGCTGCACCCAGAGGGAGCTGGGTCAGCTGATGGCTCCCCCAGGAGCAGCTCCCAGCCATCCCAGCCCCCTGCGGCTACAGGCACGTGTCCTGTGATGTGTAAAGAAAACCCCTAGTAACATTAGCAAACTGAACAACTCTAGAGAAATAGCTGATAAAGATGATAAATCCATGCAAAAAAAAGAACAGAATATTCTGAGATGAGACCCTGACAGTTCTGAAATGGTGGTTTCAGATAATTCAAGAAACCAAGGAAATTGCTGCACCCAAGGGGCCGGCGTTTTTTCCTGACTAGCTAGAGGTGGAGAAAATCCATCTTTGGGGGGCCTGCTCCTTTGTTACAAAACAAAACCACTTGAGTAGAATCAGTGAGCCTCTGGGTTTGCCGACACTGAGCCTGCTCCTGCGCCGGAAGAGTGTGGCCTGGCTCTGCCTAATGATGTGGAAGCTGCTTCCCTGTGGGCGGGGACCATCTCCAGGACATTTTGACCAAGGCATTCCTACCCAGGGGGTGTTCTGATGTCCCTCCCTCTCCTCTGCCCAGCTAATATTGTTTGTGACACAAAATAAATGCCAACTCTCAGTGTCCTATCCAGCTCACAATGCACACAGCCAGCAGAGAGTAGCCCTCAGGTGACTGACAGCCAGTGCAGCGGCACGCACCAGTGTGCTGGGGGTGCCGGGGACAGACAGGGTCCCAGCTGGCTGGGAACAGAAAGGAGCGTCACCTGACCCAGGAAAGTCGGACTAGCTGAAAGCAAATCATCACAGAGCAAAACTGGTGCCCACTGACACCCATGGCAAAATCTGATTGCAAAAGCCTTGAACTTCCTTGACAAAATTTAAATCTCCAAGATGTGGGTTTGTAGAAATAACAGCCACAGAACCACTCACAAGGGTTAGAAGAACAATGGCTCAGATTTGATTGCAGGTTTTGAAAACAGTAATCGAGTCTTTTCTGTGAAACATACATGGATCCATGAAATAGATGGGCATCCCTCAGCCCCTGGAGGGCACATGGTCCCAGCACCAACCAGCAGAGCACGAGGCCTGCCTACCTCGGATCTTGCTGGCTAGGTGCTCCTTCGAGGTGATGATCTGGTCCATGTCGGTGCGGATGACTGCCTCCATGGCCGGCTGGGCCAGCTGCAGCTTAGACAGCACTGCCTCAAAGCGCGCCCTGGCCTGCTCGTACACCATGCGGTACACGGCATCCAAGATCTGGAGGCAAAGGTGCGACGTCAGTGCCAGGCTGGCGGGGCCAGGCAGCTGCGGGCTTCGCTCCCGCTCCCCAGCCTGGCCTGCCCACCTGCAGCCACTGCCGCTGCCGTTCCTGCGGCTTCCCCTTCAGCCGGGGGGCGAGCTCTGCCTTCAGCTCAGGGCCCAGCTCCTCCATCACCAGGTTGCTCAGGATCTAGGACCAGGAGGCATAAGACGGGGCAGGGGTCAGAACAAGTTAAGGTGGCAGGTTCCTCTCCACACCCTGGCAAGCCCCCACATCCTCCGGGCTTGGCCTCGGCTCCATGACTCCACTGCCGTCCCTCCTGGGCATGATTCCCGCAGGTCCCGGCTCATCTGCCTGAGCGCCCTGCAGGATCCCCAGGCTCAGGGGTCCCTCCTCAGTGCCTCTGCACAGGTGGGCTCCCTATCAGGAATACCACAGCCCCCACCCCTTTGCTTGCGCATGAAGTGTGTGTTTGTCAAAGGCCTGATTCTCCTGCTAGACGAGAGCCCCAGGGGCCAGGGCTGCATCCTTCCTGTTCACAGCAGCACCCTGGCACCTGATTGATGGCTGGCACTCAGTAAACAAACTAACTAACAAGGATCTCCACCTGTGTGACCCACCTCAGCTTCTACCTGCCCAGGCTGAGCTTGTCATCTAACCCCGGAGCACGCTGGGGCCCAGTCTCTGTGCCCAGCCCCACCCCCTAGCTCCTGGGAGAGTTCCTCAGTCTCCCTGCCGGGCCTCCTGGCCTCACCTGCACCTCATTCCCACACAGCATCTCCCAGGTGCCGTACAACTCCTTCGACTGGCGGTACATGCGGATGGCATCTGTGAATGCGGGACCCTCTACTTTGGAGTCCTCAGGGATCCCTGCTCAGGAGAGGGAAGGAGAGAGGAGGTCAGTGAGATGGCCTGGTGGCCTCCACCAAGACCAAAAGACTGACTGCCTGTGCGCACCCCACCTGCGCCCTCCCAGGGCCCTTCCCTCACAGCGGCTGTGGCTGTCATAGCTGCAGTGACGGAACAGTGACAACCCACCACCCAAGCAGCGAGGCAGTCCTCCTCCTCAAGCCCTCCCAGCCACCAGTTCTACTCTGCAGATGAGCAGACAGGCTCTGAGGTCAGCCCACTGGCTGAGGGTCCCAGAGCATGAACTGGCACAGCCAGGACTACAGGCCACCCCCCACCCCACCCCCGTGCGGCCCAGCATGGTAGAAAGCCTCCCTCCGCCCTGCTCCCTCCCTCCCCATCTCTGTAGGGGCCTGCAAACTGGCCCTTCAAAGGCCAGACAGCGAGTACTTTCAGCTTTGCAGGCCAGACAATCTCTGTGACAGCTCTCGACTGCAGGCGCAGCGGGAAGGCAGCCACAGACAATCTGGGAACCAACACGCCAGTAAAAACTGATTTATAAGAGTAGGCAATAGGCCGAATTCTGGGCCGTGGGCCATGGTTTGCCAAGCCTAATTCCAGGTCATTGAATGCTAAGCACGCAGGGCCCGCAGGGTGGGACCAGCATGAATGGCACAGCCCTGCATCTTTACTGGTAACGGCAGCGACAAACTGCTCCTGCTGCCCGGCGGGCAGGTCCTGGGTCTGCCTGGCTCACCACTGTGTGTCCAGGTGGGACTAGAAAACACCATTTCTGTAGTTTTGTTACGGGTGGTGGTGGTGGTGGCCCCGAGGAGCCTGCCCACCTCCCCCACGCTGGCGAGGCAGGTCAGCGAACAAGGCGCGGCCCTCCACAAGGGTGCTGAGGAGGCAAGCTGCAGGAAGTTGCAAAATCCCACTTGGGGAGGAACATGGTTAAACACCTAAGCCAGGCAGCGGGCGGCAATGCTGGCTGCGTGCCTCTGACCACTGTGTCCCCAGAGCCGGGGGAAGGGGAAACAGCAGCCTGTGCCTCCAAAACCCCAGCTCCCACTGTGATGACTACAGGCTGAATCACCCCACAGAGGAAAAGCCCCTCTCTGGTGTGCGGAGGCCCTCCCACATCCGGCTGACTGGGGAATCACTGCCTATCAAGAGCTGGAAGGGAGCTCCGTGATGGGGAAATTGAGGCCAAGCCCCCATCCCTGTCGCGGCAGCTCTCTGGACTGGCATGAGGGCCTGAGAGGTTCTCACTCCTGCTTTTCAGGGACCTGAGATCAAGTAGTGGTGACCAGAGCACAGCAAAGGTATTATAGCTGGTGCCACACACAGCCCCAGGGGGAAGCCCACCTGGGCCGTGGCAGGAACCCCCTTAGACTCTCAGAAGGGACATGGCCTCCCAAACACCAGGTTTTGCCTGGAAAATCCAGGCTGGGCATTACATGCAACCTCTCTCACATCAGGGCAGTTACACTCTGCAGCCAGCAAGCCGGGTGTGCGGGGCAGGGGGCTGGGCAGCAGGGAGAGAGCTGTCCACCTCCTAGCCCTGGCTCTGGCCAGCCAGATGTGCAGCCTCAGACCCTTAGCACATCTCTGTTCGCAACATGCCGACGCCGAGGTACTGAGTTTTACAAAGTGAGGGTCGCCCATCCTGAGTGTGTGTCCTGAGCAGGGATGTCAGGGGCTGGATTATACGCCCCCTCCAATGTGGGTGTCCAAGTCCTAACCCCCAGTATCTCAGAATGTGAACGTATTTGGAGACAAGGACTTAAAGAGGTAATCAAGCTAAAATTAGGGGATTAGGCTGGCCCTGATCCAATATGACCCCTGTCCTTACAAGAAGGGGAAATTGGGACAGAAAATGTGCGCAGAGGGGGAGAAGGCAACCATCTGCAAGTCAGAGAGAGAGACCTCAGGGGAAAACAGACCTGCCGACACCTGGGTCTTGGACTTTAAACCTCCAGAACTGTAAGAAATAACTTTCTGTTGTTGAAGCCTCCTGGTCTCTGGTTCTTCATTAAGGCAGAACGAACAGACCGAGACACTGGCCCTGGGCTGAGACCCCTCAAAACAGTCCTGAAAGGTATAGCTCTTCTCAGCCCCACTTTCCCTGATGAGAAAACGGGCTCAGAGAGGCAGTTACTGACTTGAGGACAACAGCTAGGGAACTGCAGACCCAGGGGGAGCCGACTGCAGCCGGACCTGGCGACTTCCTGCCTGTGGGGTCCTCGGGTTGGGCTAAGAAAGGAAGCTGCATTCCTCAGTCCTGGGCAGCAGGCAGAGGGGGGCAGCGGCCAGACAGGAAGAGGCCTTGACCTCTGCGCCCAGGCCCACCCGAGGGCTCAGCCCAGTGCCCTGGCCTGCCCCTTGCCACCCCCAGCTGCTCCAGGAATGCAGGATGTGAGAGGGGCCCTGGGAAGAGCTGGCGTCCACCCAGCCAGGCCTTCTTCCCCAGCCACCCCCCACTTCCTGGCTGCCCCTGAAGTGAGCAATTCCAGGCTCCACAAATTCCAGGCCCAGCCGCTGAGCTGGAGGGAGCAGAGAACTTTCCCACAGTCCTCAGGGAGGAGGAAAGACTCATCTAAAACCAGCCTTGTCAGCTCGGAAAACCTTCCTTCCACAGGACACCCCATCTTTCCCTGCCCCGCCCCCTCCCAGCAGCCCTCCCTGGCCTCCCCTCCTGTCCACAGTGCCCACACCCGGAGCTCCCATCAGCGTCCCAGCCGAGCACACACTATGTGCCAGGCATGGGGCCAAGAGGTTTTTTGCCAGCAATTTACTCCCCCAGTAACCCCACAAAGCTTGAGTTTATTACCATTGTCACTGTGCACACAGGGAACTGAATGGCGGCTCTCCCCCTCCTTGTCCTGTCCCCACCCCACCGGCCTGGGGTCACCCCACCAGGTCAGCCATTTAGCCCTGGAAACCTGGAGAGGGTGGGGCTGGGCCAGGCAGGGTAGGAGGATGGGAGGAGAAGGGAGGGCGCCCCAGGCCAGGCTGCCAGTGCCCAGGTCGCCTCCACCCAGTCCTGGCCTCACGGCCCCCAGAGATCTGGGAACAGGCGGCCCTTTGTGGGCGGCAGGGCCTGGCCCAGGTGGTAGGGGTCAGTCTGAGTGAAGACCGGGTTCCTCCCAGCTGGCACATCCCAGACAGGGCACAGGCAGCGGAGGTGAGTGGAGAGGTTGGGTGAGCCCAGAGCGACCCAGGCTCCAGGCAGGGGCCCCACACAGTCTGCCCACCACCTCAGGGAGTTACGCCCGAGGCGCATGGGTGGGAGGCAGATGGCGCTGCCTCCCTCTGCCCCCAAGGCCATATCACCAGAAAGGAAATTTAGGCCAGGATGGGGTATTTCTTCAAGGGCAGAAAGCCCCTCAGTGGCCCCCCCTCCCCTCAGAGATAAGCAGGAGCCTTTTTGATCAAACTCATTATAGTCCTACTAGGTCCTCCTGACCTGACCCAGTGCGGCCCCCAGGTCGCAAGCCCCATCAGGCCTGGGGCAGGTCCTCCTCTAAGCTGCTCCTGCATGAGGCCTCCCCAGGCTTGCTGCTGTGTCTGCACACACTCCTCCCTCTGCTCCAGGACTGCTCACACTTCAGGTCTCAGCTGAACCTGGGCCCCTCGAGGGAGCCGCCCCGCCCACCACACACCCCCCATCAAAGCGCCGAGGTGGCTGCTGCCCAGCACAGCTGTGACTCATCCCCTGCTGTCCTCATCTGTGTAACATCTGTCTCCCCCACCAGACTGCCTGCAGCCCAGGGGCAGGGGCCATGTCTACTTCTTGCAGATTCCTCAGTGCCCAGGCACTAAGAATGTTTGTTGAATAAATGAGTGAGCTACAGCGACCTAACTTTACCAGTGAGAACACTGGGATCCTGAAGGAGGAAGTTAACTCCCAGACTACCCTGCAGGTCGGTGCCTTCACCAAGCATTGAGCAGACTCTCCCTGTGAGCCCCATAAACCCCTAACGCACAGAAGGGATTACTATCCCCATTTCACAGAGGCTCCAAGAATTGACTTGGTCTCCTAGGGTCATGTTACCAGAAACAGAATCAGGATTGTGACTCTATGACCTAGGGTCCGAAGGCTCAACAACCACATCCCCCTGAGAACAACTGCCCAGACTTTTTCAAAGCCACAGAGAACCATTTTCATCAAGGAAGAAGGTTAATAAGGTGCCACAGGACTGGTTTCCTACAACCTCAGCAGGAAAATCAGAAGAGCTCCAAGAGCAGGGTTGCTACACCGAGCTCAGCCTCTAGGTGTCACCATTCAGCACATAGCCCAGGTAGTTGCCCTTCCCCCGGACCTGCAGGCTGCTCACCATTGTTGCAGTGCCGGATGCAGTCCTGCAGCACAGCCTGCCACTTGTCCTGCTCAGCTTCTGTCATCAGGCAAAAGTAGTAGTGACGTGCAGAAGGATGCCAGAGGATGATGGGGAACTGCGTGGGGCACTTGAGGATGGGGGCGGTGCCCGACTTCGAGGTGGTCCCTGTGAAGACAGTACTACACTGAGCCCTCAGCCCCACTGCAGCACAGGCTCGAGCCTGGGGAGGGTTGGCCTGTCCTGGGGTGACCAGGGAGTCAGTGGGGAGGCAGCATCCTCCTTTCTTGCTGTGTCCTCCACAGCTTGGCCTAAGGGACCTCAGAATTCCCTGGCATCTGTTTAGACCCATTTCTTAGAGTTGGTAACATAGTCGCATCTACCTCCCTCTTGGGGAAGGTTCTAAACTCTGTGCATGAGACAAAAATAACACAGGGTCAGAGACCTTGAGTCCAAACACAGAGCACTACCTTCTTTTCCTTTCAAACTCCAGCTGTGGGAGCCACAGTGTGGCTGAGGTGTCCAAGGGGAAAGGGAAGCATGGGAGTGGGGGGGTAGAAAATAATACAAGGGGATTTTTTTCTGTTTTGTCCACGTGGAATTCGAGATCCAGAAAAATAGGTCCTGGGCTGCAACGCCACCAGTGTTGTTAATAATGTGACCATGACCGAGCTTCTCTGCATGCTGGCCCTGCCCCCCTGCGCTGGGCCGGGGCACACAGCACCTCGTGGGGTCTACCCAACACCTGACGTCGGTCTGCAGTGCCGGGTTGCCAGGGAAGACACAGCAAAAACAAAGCCAGAGTCAGGGCGGGATCGGAGGAAGGCGGGACTCTGGCTAAGCCCTCAATCACATGGGACGCTTTCCTCCCCAGTCCCACGAGGGAGCAGATGCTGCATCTAAGCCTGCAGTTTCTCTGGGATCATCTGAGAGGCAGATGCGTTCCGGTAAGGCCCCTGAGAGTCTCTGACAGGGTGGGGTAGAAACAGGATGCCTAGAATAACTCTATTATTCTTCTAGATAATAATAATGTTGTCATTATTATTGACAGTATTGACTCAGCAGTTACCAAAGCAGGGACCTGGTGGCCGTCTTCTCCAGAGCCCCCCGAGGACTCGGGAAGGCGAGAAGGGCAGAGAGCGAGGTGTCCGTTGCATGGCTGTGGTCAGAGGCTCAGGAAGCAGGCCCTCAGGCGGGAGCCCACACTGGCCCAGCCCCAATTCACTGCGTTGGCCTCAGGCAAACCCCCCTCCAGGCTCCCCTTTGAAGGCGCAGGCACCTGCCACAGGCTCTTGGCCCAGCTGCTCTTTTGGCAAATATGGAGCCTGAAGCTCTGGAATCAGAGCCACCCTCTCCCTTGGCCAAATCCCAGGCCTACACAGGGCATTTGGGCCTGGGATGGGTGGTTCTTTACCTGGTAAGGAGTTGCCAACGAGCTCCAGGTACCGATCCACAGAGGTGAGGATTTTGTAGCCTGCACTGTTGATGACAGCTCGGGGTGGGACCTGCCGCTCATAGGCCTGGGGAGGGGAAAAGAGAGATGGTCCCTGGGGGTTAAGGGCGCAGCCCATCCCTAATCCCACCTAAACTCTGGCTTCAGGGCCCTCTCATTGCCTCGCCCAGGGCGGGCAGGAGGAGAGAAGGAGAGAGGGGAGAGGAGCCTGGCCATCAGAGTCCAGACAGCTGGGAACATGGTACAGTGACTGGGATCCAGGTTTGGGGCTCAAATCCTGGCACCCCGGGTATTGTCTGCGTGATGCTGAGATCAAGTTCCTTCACCTACTATGCTTTACATTCCTCATCTATAAAACCAGGGAAGTGAGAGTTGGGAGCTCACGGGGCTGGGGGAGGGCTGAGAAAATCCCCGTGAAATGATCGGCCTCAGGTGCCTCCCCGAGGGCCACTATTACCATCATCACTCCTGCTGCCTCTGTTATCAGCAGCTGCCACTAACTGAGTGTTCATCACATACCACAGCATCCCCACAATCCAGGAGTAGGTGGGTACCATGATGAGCCTTAAGTTCACACAGCTGGTAAGTAGCTGACCTGGGATATGAACCTGGTCTGTCAGCCTCCAAAGCCCGAGTCTTTGACTATTACCCTGAGCGGTTCACCAGCTTCCCAGGTTCTGAGCACCAAGCACATTCCCTTTGGAGGAGCATTAGGTCCCGACACCCCTTTCTTAGGCCGGGGCAGAGGAAAGCAGTTCTGAAGTAATAGTTCATACAGCAGGGCTGCTATGCTATACCTGCCCACTAGGTGTCGCCACGCAACACATTTCTTGAGAGCGGCTCAGCACCTCTAGGGCAGTGGTTCCCAGGGTGGTCCATGCCCTTCAGCTGCCTCAACATTACCCTAGAACTGGCTAGAAATCCAAATTCTCGGCCCCACTCCAGAGGGCTTAGCAACCTGTTTTCTTACAAGCCCTCCAGGTGATTTTGATGCATGCTATCATTTTAAGAACCACTGCCCTGGGGCATCAGATTGTCCCTGACTGTTGATGTTACTCTAACACCGATCTGCCTTGAAGCAAAGGGCCCTCACTCAGGCCTGTCCCTGTGGCAGCTCTGGAGAATATTTAGTAGAAGAAATTGGGTCTGTGCTTCAGCAGGGTGGGTTTTCCCCAAGGGTTCAAAGCAGAGATAAACCAAGCTGGTTACAGGGCAGGGCCAGAGGGAAAGGTGACCCCCAGAGGGCTGGGGGCCTAGATGGACGAAGCACCATTTGGAGAGGAGCACAGCAGAGCAAGCAGGTCTGGGGAGGAGGGAAGGGTGCTTGGGCTCTGTTTCGGCTCCTGGGACAGCCCACACAGCAGGCAGGGGGTGGGGTCTGCAGTCCTGGATTTGGGGTGGGGCGCCGGCAGTGACAGGAGAGCAGGGAGGGGAGCTGCGGAGAAGGGGAAGCTGGCCTGGCTGGGCCCACCGGATTTTCTGGGGGCTCAGTGCGGGCCACCTGCCCCTGGATGGGGTGGGCTCACCACTTTGTTCTCGTAGAGCACCAGCCCATAGTTGTGGGGCACGAGGCTGAAGCGGTTCCTCCACTTTTTGTTGTCCTCCTGGTACTGGAAGAGGTTCCCTGAGAAGATGATGCGCTCATCCAGCGGCACCTGGGGAGGGCCGGGTGGGAGTGAGGCCCCAGAGGGTGACCGTCCTTCAGGGGCACATCCTCCATCCTGGTCCCACCAAGTCCTCCTCACAGAGGCCTCTGGGACAGGGCTGCGTCTCACCCATTTGGCGGGAGAGGAAAGTGAGGCTCAGGGCAGTGAAGGGGCTCCCCCAGGGCCCAGGCCCAGCCGTGGTGATGCCAGGACTTGAACCCAAGCCAGGAACCCCCGTCGGGGCCCAGCCAGGACCGAGGTCTCCCACTGCCCCATCCCTCGGCAGGCACTGCTACCTCGGGACAGGTTTCTGGAGCCCACGGCAGGCTTCTCCGCCACCTGGTGTGAGTGCAGGGTAGTCACACCAGCCAGAGGGGACACACCCCAGGCCAGGACAGTGAAGGTGGTTGCACAGAGCCTCCCCAGCTCTGACAGCTGATGACATGGCCTCCGTGAGTCAGGATGGGGGTGGAGGGGACCTCAGTCTGGAGGGTTCAGTGTTTGACCAACGTCCTGGCAGCCTGGTGACCAGTTTAGTTTGGGCAGCAGAAACGCCCAGGCCTTCCTGCAAAGCCCTGGCTTAGACTCCATCTCTGACTCCTCAGTGGGACTCCGGGCCTGAGTCACATCACCACATCACCTCTCCAAGCTCAGTTTCCTCAGCTGTAAAACGGAGACGGGGACAGGACTGACGTCGACTGTATCTCGAGGTTTCCATAGGATGACACATGTAAGCACACACAGGCCGGCAGCACCTGGCAGGCAGGGCATCCGGCCACAGTATTTGGGAGCTGCCAGGACCACGATTCGGATACCCGATCTTCCAGTCCCCCAGCTCCTTGCACTGGCTCATTTGGGGGGCGAGAGGGGGTGGCCTTCCCTGAGGGAGCACTGTCTGCACAGACCGGCACTGGGCAGCTTCAGGAGAGGAGGCACACGAGTCCAGGGTGCAGGCTCACCCCTGAATGGAAGAAGCCCCCCGAGTCCAAGGCAGCTTCTCTCTGCTCTGCAATACATGTGAGGCCTTTTGCAAAAAGAAACATGTATGTCACGCAGTAATGGGAGAAATGTTATTTTACTGGTGCCTGTCCATCCTCTGCCTCCGTGTCTGCCCCTGCAGCTGGAGTCAGCGGGGAGCAGCCCCCCCCCAGCCCCCTGTGCCCAGACTCCCACGTGGCCCCCCTCCCCAGCACCTCCCTGCCACTCTTCAAGGGGAAATGCCAAAATCCTCTTGGAAAATGAGGGCCCATTGTACTCGAACAATAGGACCCGCAGACTGCTTCCTACCCAGGGATAAAAATAATTACAGGAAAAGAATATGGTCCCCCTACCACGACTCCCCACGGCCCCCACACACAGTGGGCTTTGCCCAAGTCACGAAGCTGCTCCATGGTCTATATTTAGGGCACAGACGACTGTCAACCCAGCTCTCAAATCCCTACTTTTCTAGAAAGAACAAGCAGATAAGAGTTCCTCCGACACGGCGGTGAGACCCTCACTGCCCTCGGGCCTCTGGTTTCCCTCGGCTTAGGCCACGCTCCCGGGACTCAGGGGGCAGTAGGAAGCTGTGGCTAAAGGCTGTTTGCTGTCTGTCTCCTCAAGTGTCTGAGGGCCAGGAGGGCACACGGCCCAGCACCTGCCCTGACACAGCGTGTGTCCCGAATGGGGGCCTGTCTTCTCTCAGGGTCCCCTTAGTCTCGTCAACAGTCTCTACTCCCTCACCCAACAAATATTTACTGGGCGAACATAAGTCTACTACTAGTAACGGGATCCCGACAAGGTGGGGGATGGCAACAGTGTCAGCCAGAATCCTGAGCACCCCCTGCTCCAGGCCTCCAGCCGGCTTGAACCTTGAATCCTCACAACCCACTCAAGCAGGAGGGGTTCTCATCCATTTTACAGATGAGTAAACTGAGGTGAGGTAATTTGCTCATGGGCACAAAGCCTATAAGAGGAAGAGCTGGACTTGAACTCAGGCCTGCCGATGGTGGGGTGGAGCTGGAGGGCATCACCCATGGTGAATGGAGGAGCCTGGGCCTGGGTGGGGTCCTTCCAGACCATCAGGGTGACCGTGGTAAACCAGGATTGAAGTGGCCACGTGGCAGGCATCAGTGTCTATCCTGACCTGGCTCAGGACCTCTCACCTTACGCCAAAGCAGCTGGGCCTGTGGCAGCCCTGTGCCCTCAACCTCATGGCGCATGCTGTTGAAGAGGGCGACACCATACTGGTCCTCATAAAAACGGAGGAACTCCGTCAGGATCTTCCCGGTTTTCTCTGAAAAGGAAGGACAAACAGGACCATGAGTTCATCGTGGTTACTGGCGTGCAGCAGCCCCGCCCTGGGGAAGCGGGTCAGCAAAGCCCCAAATTCCTACTTGTACAACTGCTCACACAACTACTATGGGTCCATCCACATCGCGTTTCTGGCCAGAGTTGTGCGTTTCCTGCACACAATGGGTGAACCTCCGGACAGGAAAATGGGCAACGAGCGTAGACAGAGCAATCACCAAAGAGAAAACACAAGAAACTAATAGGCGAACGAAAAGATGCCTCCCAGTCACCCAGTAAATGCCAACAGAAAGTATTCTGTTTTCCTGTCAGACTGGGCAGAATGTGGAGAAACAGCACCTTAACCCAGGGCCAGGGGTTGGAAATTGGAAAGGCCTTTTTGGTGGGTAACTGGCAGCCACACCCACAATTTTAAGGGAGCGTGCAGGACCCTCTGATGCCACACTTCCGCCTCTAGGAATCTCCCCATAGAACAATGCACACGAGAACGACAGGCACAGATGTGCCAGGCAATCACCAGAAAAGAGCCAAGTGCGTGCAAGGAGCATGCGTTGCTACAGAACAGTTCACTGCGGGCCCGTGAGATGCACAGGTCTATGTACCGACAGAGGGAAGGTCTCCTCTGTCACATAAAGAAGAGACCTGCAGAATGACATGTTGAATATCATTACATTTACAATCATTCCTGGGTGCAGATACACTACTTATGCTTGGAAAGGTCCAGAAGGCAGTGCTCCAGATGGCTCAGGGTGGGACCTCTGGGTGTGGGAATACAGAGGGCAGAGTGAATTTCATTTTTGCCTTATTCACTTTCATAGCATTTGAATTATTTTACAAGCATGATTCCTTTCACAGTAAAAAATGAACATTCCAAAATTAACTTATCTACCCAGTTAACAACTTGCTTTCACTGGCCACTGGCTTCCCTCTTCTGCTGAACCAGTTTCTGACCAGCGAGGGTGAGTTCTGTGGCCTCCAGGGCAGGCCCAGCACACGACAGATGCTCAGTATTTGCACTGCCTGGGCATCTCTATTTACAGATGAAAAAACTGAGATATTTTTCAGGAGAGGGTTGTGACGGTGACAAGAGGGCCCTCTCCTTGGGAGACTTCCTGTCCGGAAACACTGCAGCTCCAGTCCCAGCCCGGGGGTTGTTCTGGCTCACCGGGCAGCTCACCTCTCCAGGCCTCAGTTTCCCCTACACACTGAGAAGATTTCAATTTCAAACTCCTCGGATATCCTGCCTCCTCCGACAGGTTCAAAGACCTGGTCTATCCTCACAGGAGAAAGGGCTGATGTGACAGCATCCCTCCCAGGCCTGGTCTCCAGGTACTAAGAGCACCCAGCTAGGATAGCATTTCATTTAATCCTCCCAATAACTGTGAGATAAGGCTGGTATTATCCCGGTTTTAAGGAAGAGGAAACTGAGACCCAGAGAGGTTAAGTCACTGACACAAGGTCACACAGCTTGAGAGCAGTGGAGCTTGGATGCAGTCCTGGGGGCCAGCCAGGAGGTGGTGGCTGGGGAGGTGGGAGGAAAGCATGTGCCACATCCCACACCCAGGGTCTCAAGCAGCCCCACTCCCTCCAGCGGCACCGCAGCCCAAGCACCCCTCTACAGACTGTGCCCCACTTTCCTTAAGTGAGGTCAGGTCTGTCCTCCAGATTCCAACCTGGGGGGAGGAAGGGGAGAACAAACGGGGACTTTGCTTTGAATGCCTATTTTTTAAAAACCGTAAACAACCAGAACTCTCTCAAAGACCACAGGAAGTGTTTTGAAAAATGAGGCAGGTTCGGGGAGAGATGGGATAATGAATCAGGGCAAAACAGAGAAAACAGGATCAAAGGGGACAAAAATATTGACAAATCATGTCATCGTCATAATAGCATTAACCTGAGCCAGTGGGTGGGCAAGTTTTACATGCATGATGCCTAAGAATCTTCATGAACACCCTTGGGGGGGCAGCTGTGCTGTTTTCCCAGTTTAGGGATGAGGAGGCTTGAGGGTCCAGGACCGGAGAGCCGGGTTCTCAGCCTCGAGCCCACGCAGCCTCCGCCCAGGCTTTTGTCCTGAATCTGCCCCCAGTAACCAGACGCCCACCAGGCACCCTCCCAGCATGCAGGATGGGCAGGCACGGGGCTTTGGAGGCGAGGGCCCTTCAGCCATCCCTCGGGTGCACCCAGCCTCAGACAGAGCATTTCCAGAAAGGCTGGAATCTGCCCCAACACTAGGGGCGTCCACCCCAGGAGGAGGCTGCTGTCCTGCTTCAGGACCCAAACCAGGGTCTGCCTACCCCACAGCATGCCAGCCATGGCAGCTGGGCAGGGAGCTGCTGGGCTTGGAAGGCCCCAGGGCCGGACTGCAGAGGAGGACAGGAAGAGCAGGCCCGCCAGAAGGCCAGACGCCAGCCCGTCCAGGGATGTGAAGGCCCACGTCAGGTGGGGCCAGGGGTTGGAGAGGAAGCCAGGGGAGGCTGAGGAAGTGAGACTCAGATGGAGGTGACCGAGACAGAGCCAGAGGCAAAGATGAGGCTGAAAGGCCTGAAGCAATGTGGGGGTGCCTCACTCAATGGGGTAGGAAGAGAGCAGGCAGCCCCGGGCACCTGCACCCCTAAACACTGCAGCAGCCCCAGCCCCGATTCCATCCAACTGCAACAGCAGGCATGCCCTGCACCCCTCATTCAAGTGCTATATCGAGCTGGGTCTGTTTCCAGAGGACCCCTCTGCTACCTCACTACCCAACCTGCTCTCACAGCTCAGGAGCCACACGGATCGGGACAGGGAGGGACACCCTTCCCTGTCTAGGGATTGACAGCGACACCCAGCAAGGTCAGCCTGCACCGCTGGGTTCACCACTGGGCCCCCTGGCTCAGCGCCACGGCCTCGCACACCCAGGCGCTGGGCAAGGGGGTCTGCCCACTGCCGGTTACAAGTGCCCACTCTGCGCCAGGCCGTGCAGAGCTGAGGATGCCACCAGGTGAGCGGTAGGGGCCCTGTCATTCCTTGAAAGGTTGAGGACTAAGAGGAGGGTCCTGGCAACAAGAAACTGGAGACATGGGGCCTGAGTGTGGGAGCAAAGGGAGAGCCGGGAAGAAGACAGTGGGGATCAGGGCCAAGCACAGCTTGGCTTCTCAGCAGGGGTAGCCCCGAGCACATTCTTGAGAGATGTCCTAGGACAGCTGCAGAGGAACTGCCACGTGCTTGGTGCAGAGGCGGGCCCTCCGGAAGGCAGAGAACTCAGGGGGCCGCACCAGGCTGAGGTGTCAGGGCGGAGAATCGACCAAGGGCTCGCAGGGGAGAAGCCCTGAGCAGGGCCCCCCAGCAGCCCCTCTGGCCAGACGGCGCTGGAGGAGAAGCCGGGCCTGGAGAAAGACCCGGCTTCCATACTGCTGCCGGCTGCGCTCCGGGCCTGGCCGGCAGCCCCTCCCTAAGGTGCTGCACAGCACCCCACTCCTTCCCTCCTTGCCACCTGCAGCAGCTCCCTCCCTGGAGTTTCCACAGAGGTTTTATGACTGAATTCCATCCCACAGCAGTGTCCCTGCCTGCGTGTCTGTGGGTGGTCCCCAGGGCCTCCAGGGCCCCTCATTCCCCCACACCTGCCTATACCAGCTCCTGCAGCTTCCAGAGGCACCACATGCCATGGACTTGGGGCCTCCAAGACCAGGCTCCCCACCCCAGGGGACTTTGTGAGCCAGAGAAGGTGAGGGGCTCACGGAAGGTCACAGGGCCAGACCGCGGCAGTGAGGGGTTCAAGCCACAGCCTGTGACCCCTTCCTGATCCTGGCTCTGTGCCAGATCCAGAAACTGGGGGGCCCCAGCCAGCCATCCAGTGTGCCAGCCCCCACGTTGTGTCATCCATCCTGCCTCCCTCCTTATACTGACTGGGCCCCAGGTGCCACTGGATAGGAAGGCCGGGCGGGGACTGCTGGGCCGGCCCTCTAGCCCTGGGCTTCCAGCTTCCTGGTGAGGGGCACAGGGCAGGGGCCAGAGCCAGCCCCTGCAAGCTGCCTCACCCTCTAAGACCCTCCAGGGTGGCGAAGGATGCTCGGATCTACCTGAAGATTGACCACAAACCTCAGGAGGTTGGGCCTGGCACCCCTCTGCTCACCCCTGGCAGCCTGGCTCAGGCACCCGCTGTGAACGGGCGTAACAGGCTCCATTCAGTGCTCTGCACATGCTCAGCTCAGGCCCTCCATAAATGTTACTGTCATCATAATGGTGCTCAGTTTATAACAAGAGAAATATGAATTTTTTTATTAGCAAGTATAACTTTTACAGTTTGAAAAAAATCCAATAAAGACTTTTTAAAAAAAGAACCAGGATGAGAATCACAAAGTAGAGATAATGATGAGTAGATCTTCAACAAAGGTCAGACAGACAGACAGACAGACAGAGAGCCCACCAGGAGGGAGGGATGCTCAGTGAAGGTGAGGGGTGGGCACGGGGCCAGGGGTGTGCAAGGAACACCCAGGACCCCAGGTTCCCACCTGGCCTCGGCAGGGGCCCCCTTGGCATAGTCACCAGCCTCTGCTAGTGCCCAGAGCCCATCACTGCCTCCTGTGCGTCTCTGCCAGCGCACCCCACAGAATTAGGAGGTGAGCTCACCCCACTCAGACACAAGGTCCAATGCACATCCCAGATTCTTCAAACAGCACCAGAGGTGAATACAGCTAAACAAACCCTCCACGTCACAGATCAATGACTCACGAAAGGTCATTTCACTCATCAGTCAACAAAAACCGCTTAGGCACCTACCTGGGGTCATCACAGGAGAGGTCGCCTGCAGGGGCCCTGATTCCCTGTCAGCCCAGGAGGGCAGCCCAGTTCTGGGCATGGAGCAGAGAGTCCTAATCTGTGCCCAGCTACGCTGTGCTCTGGGACCTTAGGGAGCCACTGCTCACCCCAGGGCCTCCGTCTCCACAGCATGTCTGCTGAAAGAGGGTAGCAGGCTCCATCTGGCCCAGGATGTGGGGGCCAGGGTGAAAC